AGCCTGTGGCAGGGAAGAGAGCAGTAAGTGTTAAAATTTCGAAATCGAGTTTCCTTCAAAATTCGTCAAATCTCTTCTAAATTAAATCACTGAAATATCTAAAACAGCAAAATTCGTCTTAATTGTATCAAAACGAGAGAAATGAGAAAGGCATAATTGCGCAAAAAAGTTTCAGGCAAGACAGCAGTAGGTAAGTGACATTATTCCTCCAGAGGGCCAATGAAAACAGTGCTTTCAAGTAAAATGCCGCCATCTTCTGCCAGTTTCTAACCTGAAAACGCGTTTGCTGTGTGTCCAAAACGCAACCACGAAATCATGCAAAAGGAAGCACTTACGGCTGTCTTGTCTAACAAAAACTTTTCATGAGAACGAAAAATACCTCTTTCATGTAGACATAAAATCGTCGATTTTTAATCATCCAAACGATTTTTAGGAGACTTTCGGATGATAAGTGCAAGCAATTTTACAAAGAACGGAGGCTCTTTCGATAAAATGTCTCGATCAGACGCTTCTGAGCCCGTTTTCTTAAAACCTCGTTTTTGCACTTAGGTACTCCGCGTATGAACATTCCTCCGATACAATATTTATTTTTAATAAAAGTTACGAATATTTTTATAGGAAATTTTCAGATAATGTATGTTAACGTTAGAACAAAACTATCTGAAAAATTGGAAGACAAATATTCATAACCTCACCTGGAAATTCGTGCTCTATCCAAGGAGATTTGGCAACGCCTGAAGGTTCATACGGCGTTCTTCCTTAGCACGACCGTACTACTCTCTTCGCTATCACGGCAGTATAGATCTCGCCAACAAATGTTGCATTGGGAGAGTCAGAGGAAAGGGTCCAGAGTTAAGAATCGGCCAAACGCTGGCTAAGTTGTGTCTGACACGTGAAATAACAAAATGTCAAGCGCGTATCCCAAGAGAGAGCGCAGCCCGAGAACGACAATAGAATGACACACTATGGCGCAAGATGGGGTAGCATCCCCTTTGTTTTTTTTTCTGTAACTTTAAGTTAAATCTGAAAGGAACGGCGAGTGTTGTAATAATACCGCCGATCTAAGGAAGAACGCCGTATGAACATTCGAGAGTTGCCAAATTTCCTGTGACACAATATTTATTTTTAAGGAAAGTTATCAATATTTTTCCTTGAAATTTTCAGGAACCATAGTGAAAATTGCAAAACAACAGTGCGAAACACATGGTTTGGAAGTTTCGCCGTCGACCAGTGGCGCGGCGTGCTTTGCGATATATTGATCTACCATTTAAACCGATGGAAATGAATCGAAAAATTGGGTGTTCGCAGCGAACACCTTAATAATCGATTCTTTACCAGCTTCAAACGGGGAAATATCGATTTAATCGATTATTCACGCATGGCCACCAATTCTTTGGCCATCAGAAGGGGTTTTTTGTCGATAGTCGATTTTTTAACTCAACTTTACAAAAGTCACTCCACTGAAGATTTCCCCTTTAATGTCCTATTTCGTTTATGGAGATGTTGCATGTGTAAGGAATTTGTGATTTGACCATTGATTCTTCAGTAAAAAGTTCGCGAGAAACACGATGGTGCCACTGGTTTTCTCTGAAATCAACTTCCAAGCTCAAAAAAAGTTCTCAAGTTGAGGCCAATATGGAGGGGATATCCCACGCTAACCGGAGAGTCCCCCTCTACATCAAGACAAACTCTCCATGCAAAGATAGGGAGCAAATACATTGACAGGGCTGCCACTTTATTTGGGGACTCTAAAACTGAAAACACGGCAACCCTGCTAATGTATTTGCTCCCTATCTTTGCATGGAGAATTTGTTTTAATGTAGGGGTGGACTTTTAGGGTAGGATAGGATATACCCTCCATTTTGGCCTCAACTCGAGAGCTTTTTTTGAGCTTGGGAGTTGATTTCAGAAAAAAACCAGTAGCACCATCGTGTTTCTCGCGAACTTTTACACAAGAATCAACAGTCAAATCGCAAATTTCTCACACATACAACATCTCCATTCTTTGGCTATCAGAAGGGATTTTTTGTCGATATTCGATTTTTCAACTCAACTTTACAAAAGTCACTCCACTGGAGATTTCCCTTTTAATGTCCTAATTCGTTAATTCTTAATTCTTCTATAATTCTTTTTCGCACAGCTTGAACAAATGGGGAAAATATCTATATCCGATCATTCACGCCTCGCCATTGTCGTCTACTTGTCACCAGAGGCGGATCCAGCAATTTGGCAACACCGGATTTCCTCTATTTAAACCTATGGTAAGTAATCGATTTTTGTCGGAGCACCTGGCCCCTCCGAGCATCGATACATTTCCATAGATTTAAATGGACGAAATCCGGTGTTGCCAAGTTGGTGGATCCGCCAATGCTTGTCACACACTGAACCAAAGAAATCATTATAATCATGGTATCCACTACTGCTTTGAAAAACATCAATCTCTCTGTAATTTTTGAGGAAATAAGTTACCTCCGTTGATGTCGGACGTAGGAACATGACTCTCGGTGACCGTATTAAACGGCATAAATGTATTTTGATCAATGTTTGTGTGTGTGTACTACTTAATAACTGATGAATGAGAAAGTTCGCTTCAATTACATTCCTTGGAACCTTTATTTGTGTGCCAGCCCCGAGAAAACGACTCGTCGAATGCTTGAATTCGAAGATTTTGCGTTTCCCCTGAGATGTTTCGGTTTATCATTGCTCGTTCCTCGGGGAGCGAAGATGGGCTCAAAACATAGTCCGGTCCCCAAAAAATGGACGTATTTATGCTGAAAGGAAGTATGTGCATAATGTTTACGTGCAACTTAGTTGTTTTTAGCATAAATTTAATGCGTCCAAAGTAAGATCATCCGTGCTGAGATTCGAGATGTAAGCGAGTTCCTGAGAATGTCGCAAAGTTTTCATTTTTTCGATTATTGAACTTGAAGTTTCATTTTTACAATCCCATGAGCCCACGGAAATAAATTAGTAGGGGTTGTGTTGTAGGATGATATGCGCATTTCCAATTGTAATTTTGATTGTTCTCCAATAAATTACCATCCCAACTTGAGAGTGAGACGCGGTACTATCATTATTAATCATCCAACAAAGAGGGGTCGTGCCACAATTTTAGGGGATATCCCCTAAAAAAATTTTCGTGTGGCAGGAGCAATAAAGTGAGTTCCATCTGTTGGACAAAAGGTAACTCATTTGCAATACAATAAATCGCAACGTTTGCCAATTTTATTCCGACAATTTTCAACAAGAGGAGCCCCTTCAATTAGTAGACAGGCAACAAACCCTACACTTTAATGTAACAGCACGAAAACCGTGTTACCGGCGCGGCGCGGCGCTGCGGTAACACGGTATTGTTATGCACCGCGTGGATGCTATATTTGCTTTATATTCATACACAATAAAAAAAAAAAAAAAAAAAAAAAAATAGGTATAGCTTAATGCATGTATTAAGTAAATGACCAATAAAAAATAAAAATATTTTTTCGGAAGGATTGCCGTGCGTTGTTTTTGTTGTTTTTCTTGCCCAGTTGTTTTTCTTTCAGAGTACAATACTCTGGAAGAAAAACAACTGGGTAAAAAAGTCTATCGTTTATTGGAGGTACAAAACATAAATCCGTGCATAAACAAAGGAAGAGAAACTTAAAATCCTATATCAAGCGTTTTAAGATATTAGTCTCGCCTTCAAATAGTTAATCGCATGTACGTATCTCTACTTTTTTTTCTTTTTTTTCATTTTTTTATAAAAAAGGAAATTAATTCACAAAGGCTAATCCTCAATTCCAACGTTCTAATCTTCAAAGAAATGTAACTATTATCTTCGTCTAGTCTATTACGTCATCTCAGAAAATCACGAAAAAGATAAAATGAGGCCCTAAAACAGGCCTCATAACGAATTTTTTTGTGCGTCTTCAGTTCTGAATGTCAAAAAATGAGATCACTTATACGAACACTATGACTCATGACAGTTCACCCATTAACGAGTTTTCTGATAGTGAAGCGTAAAAGCTAGTAAGTCTCAGTTTAAGTCTGTCTGAATCAATCTGACTCAACAAACCAATTTATCGACCGCTGGAGAAAATAGGTGGCTCCATGTATAAAACTCAATTTAACAAGGGTGAAATTCAACAAAAAGGAGGAATCAGATTCGTTGTTCTTAGGCCTTGTCTCCACGAGCCGTTTCACGAGATTTGTCCCAGGGAAAAATCCCATTTACGAAGTTGGGAAAAATATTGAGTTAATCAATATTTTTCCCAGTACCAAGTATGGTACTGGTACCCCTAGGACCCACTGAGAGAAGAAGGAGAAGTGAAAACGAATTGTGCGATATTTTATTCATTACTACATTGTTAATGTTTGTTTACTTAAAATAATGTGTCTAATTGTCAATTGAGTGCAATTATTATTTTAATCCCGGTTAAACACTCGACTTTAACCAATTTATCTTCCCGCGAAAACTAGTCGCAGGACTGTATGAGCCCCGTCCCGTAGAGACGGTAACTGGGAAAAATCCCAGAAGTTTCATTCCTGCGATTCGAACTTGGGACAAATCCCATGAAAACGTCCCGTGGAGACAAGGCCTAAAAAGAGTCCATCCTTCATGTATGGATTCTTTTTAAAATTTCTGGTGCACAGAACTTTTGATCGTAATATCCTCCGTGACATTGCCGTGCTAAGGAAAATTGCCGTATGAACCTTCAGGCGTTGCCAAATCACCTTTGTTAAAACACGAATTTCCCGGTACACTTTTGAATACTTTCCTTCCAATTTTTCAGCTAATTTTGTTCGCAATTTCACGTAGAGTTATTGAGAATTTCAGGGAAAATGGACCGCGTTCAACAGAAAGGAACCAAGCCACACCAGCCATTGCCAAATTTAACTGGGCACTTTAATGTTTTACGAGAGAACACTGGTGCGGACTCCATTGAAAATTTTAAGGAATTTGCTTCGTACTTTGGAGAAAACTCACTGAAATTAGCGCGAAAATCCGCACAACCGTTTTCATGTAAAAAATTAAATTGCTCAATTAAATTTTGCAATAGCTGATGTGGCTTGGTTTCTTCCTGGTTAACGCGGTCCCAAAGACCTAAAGACGGAACGCTAGAAGAAGAAAATGAAGAACAACCGTTTTCATGTGAAAAATTAAATTGCTCAATTAAATTTGGCAATAGCTGATGTGGCTTGGTTTCTTCCTGGTTAACGCGGTCCCAAAGACATAAAGACGGAGCGCTGGAAGAAGAAAATGAAGCCAGCTCTCCTTTTGGTTAGAGCAGCAGAAAAACAAACTTTATCTGATATTCCTGTGAGATTCCTCCTTGTTACCAAGCCAAAATAGGTTTATTATAAAAATTCAAAATCCCAACTTTATTTATTTACTTATTCGTTTCAGGCAAATAAAACGAGATTAGAGGAAGAAATGTAGAAAAATCAAGAGGACAAATTCAAATCAAGTTTCAATTCCCGCGCATAGATTCACAGCCACTTAATCTGATTCCTCCTTGTTACGAAGCCAAACTAGCTTTTAATAAAAATTCAAAATCCCAACTTTATTTATCGGTTCGTTTTAGGCATTTTCAATGAGATTCGAAGAAGAAATATGGAAAAGTGAAGAGGACAAGTTCAAATCAAATCGTTTCCCGCGCATGGATTCACATCGCCAGAATGGCTTCACTTCTTCCGCGTGCTTTTAGATACGAGCACTCCGTCTTCATGTCTTTGCGCGGTCTAAATAATAATAACATTCCTTAAAGATGAACATTTCATCGAAGGAAATTTGGCAACTCTCGAATGTTCATACGGCGTTCATCCTCAGCACGGCGGAATACCACAATCACTCAAACACCATCATTTATGGGAAAACTTTGGGACCACCATATACAGCTGTGACTGCGAGTATTGTAACGACAATAAAAATATCGAAACAGAAATACTCGATGAGGGTCGCGTCTGCTGTGGATGGTCGAAGGTGAAATGCTCCTCCGACTTTTGTGACGTATTCGACCCAGAAAGTTGCAGTGTCGCTCGCCTTTGCCGTTAGACCTTTGCTCCTTCCTGACAATAGCTCCATGTTCCTTGAGAACGTAGCGTAGCTGAAGAAAACACAATTCAATGCATGAGACAGTTTTACAAATCGGAATGGAGAATTTGCATGCACATTTTTTATTGCATCATCTGGGAGTGCTTATAAAGAGCTGATTTTACAGTATTTTTTATAATTTTTTTTTAAAATTCACCGCCAAGTGACGTCATCTGGCGGCATTTCCCATTTAAACGTACGTATTTTAGCAGATTAAATAATTTTCTCATATCTTCTCCAATAATCGTTCAATTCATGAACCAAGGGTATCCACCTGCTCTGTTTATTGAGTAGTTTCCACTTAAAAACATGTTCCTCGAGAACGTAGCGTAGCTAAAGAAAACAAAATTCAATTCATGAGATAGGTAGTTTTACAAATTGGAATGGAGAATTTGCGTGCAAATTTTTTATTGCATTATCTGGAAGTGTATAAAGAGCTGATTTCACAGTATTTTTTATAATTTTTTTCTAATATGGGAAATTGATGAATAAATAGATTTAAAAGTGAGGAAATGCGAATTTAATTCCGAAGATCGTCAAATTTGTTAAAAATTACGAGTGCATAAATAAGTTTATCTGCGTGAGAATGAATACCCCTATCCAGGTACGCCAGATTTTTTTTTTTAGTATTTTTGTAAGAATGAAAAGTATAATAGGGTGTGTATGAGTGTGTTTAGTTTGTATATGTTAACGTGTGTATAATAATATCTCTAGGGGTTTCAGTTGATAGCAGAACTCACTTTTCGTCAGCTAAGAATCCATGCACAACATCTCTGATGCTTTCATAAGAAGTAAGGGTGGAATGTTCCAGTTTCACTCCCACACCAGCATCGATGATTTTTTGCACCGTCATTTCCTGGTCTGCGAACCATGGTATGCCGATCAGAGGAACCCCGAAGTGAACTGCCTCCTGGAAACTTTGGAAACCGCCGTGTGTGATGAAAACCTTCACCTTTGGATGAGCTGAAATTAAAAGTCAAATCATTAAAAGAGCTCTAAGTACATTAAGGATCCTGTACCCCGGCCAGGGCCGGATTAAGGGGGTGGCCACATCGGCCGCGACTCATGGCGGCAAATCTAGGGGGCGGCAAATTTTGCAATTTTCTTAAATGTAAGTATAAAAAAAAATTGGATTTAGAAAACAAAATTACAAATGAGAAAAGGCGACAAAATCTCTTATTTCCTGAGAATAAAGTAATTTCTAATTTTGTCCTCTTCCAGTGATACAAGAGACAGCACCTTTAATTAGTCGAGTTAAGAGAGAGACCAAACGCGCAATTTGGCTTGGAACGGCGCGACTGAGAGAGAAATGATGACGAGGACTTGAGATGAAAAGGAGAAGCCCTCGGCTCGGCGGTCGGCATGTAACACATATTAGCGCCTACATGACTGCACGAATACTTCACGCATTGCGTCAAACAAATTGCGTTTAGCAGCGGTCGGCGTGAAACTCAGAGCGCCTACAAAACTGTCGGAATACTTCACGCATTGCGACACGGTGCAGTCTGCTTGGCGCGGTGGCGGAAGTAAAAATGATTAGACCACATTTATGTTTGTTCTTTCGTAATTTTTTCGTTCATTTTTTATGAATAGAAGGCCTTGTCCACACAGAGATAGGTTTATGAAACTTAGCTTTCGCGCAAAGTTTGGTAAATTTTTGCTAGTGGTGGTGACAGGGTTTTCCCAAAAAATGTGTCAAACACGAGTAAACGCGTCTCATGCACCCTACCTCCGCTGGCACGTTCACTTGATGGCCTTTATTGATGTTTCAAAACGAATGAGAAGGGGCGGCAAAATACAGGCGGCCCATGGGCGGCAAGTAGGTAAAACCGGCCCTGATCCCGGCCTGCAGGATAGCTGAAAATGGACAGTTGCATTCACGCTACGACGCAGGAGGGTATTATGGATTCAATCGACATGAATCGATCGAAAAATGAAAACGTGAATCGATCGACATGAATCGATCGACATGAATCGATCGACAAATTATTAAAAAAACCGGTGTAGATTCGAGCGACATGAATCGATCGACATGAATCAATCGACACTGAATCGATCGACCGTTAATTTAAAAACACCCGTGTCGATCATTCGATCGACATGAATGGATCGACAAATGAAAACGTGAATCGATCGGCGTGAATCGATCGACAAACCTGTGAATCAATCAACAAACCTGTGAATCGATCGATATACCCGTGAATCGTTCGACAAACTCGTGAATCAATCGAATTTTTTTTAAATTAACCGTCGATCAATTCACGTTTCCATTTGTCGATCGATTCATATCGATCGAATCGACACCGGTTTTTTAATAATTTGTCGACCGAATCGGTGTCCATCGATTCGTGTCGATCGATTAACGTTCTCATTTTTCGATGGATTCACGTCGATCGAATCCATACCCTCCTACGGCGCATACCACTATTTAGACACGCGCGAGCGCTTTAAGTATACCGCTTTAAATGAAGGCGAAACATGCTGTGATAAGGTCACTGACACGATTTTTTAGCGGACGGGTGACCAGTGGCGTGGCGTGCTTTGCGATATATTGATTGATCTGCCGTTTAGACCTTTGAGAAAAGATCGATAAATAAGGTGTCCGCAACAAACACCTTAATAATCGATACTTTACCACAGATTCAAGCAGGGAAATATCGATAATTAATCATTCAAGCTTCGCTACTGCGGGTGAAGGTTGAGGGTTGGAATCCGCGTTATTATTTTGCAACTTTCCCGTAATTTGGGTGAGAAGCCTGAAATTTCCTTCGAATTCAGCCACAACCCTCTGGAGGGGGTGGGGGGGGGGTCGTTGCACCGACGTAACAACAAAGGTCTTTATTTTCTTTTGCATGTCTAATTACGTCAAAATGCAAAATACGGGTGGTATGACTGCAATGAGGGTGTGACGATCGTGAACAGTCGTCATGTTAAAACTTTAAAAAGTTTTTAAAAAAAGCAAAAAGCGAGTGCAATTACATATTTTTTACTTAAAAAGCTGGCGCGTCTAGTTTTCGAAATTTAAATGGGAAAAAATGCCCCGGTTGCCAAAATTCAGAAAACTGCCATATTTTAGCAATGGGATTAGAGGGGTCTAATAATCTCGGCTCCTGCTTTCTGCTGAGGTTTCCGGGGAGGAGATATTACCGAAAAATGTTTACCGTACTTACAACGGGACGACTAGTTTGACAGGAGTTCTGCCGTGCTAGGAAAGAACGCTGTATGAACATTCGAGAGTTGCCAAATTTACTTCGATAAGACGTTTATTTTTGAGGAAAGTTATGAATATTTTTCCTTTAAATTTTCAGAATCTTTCGGTGAAATTGCAAACAAAATTATTTAACAAATTGAGAAGAATATATTCATCAGTTTACCAGAAAATTCGCGTTTTATGAAAGGAAATTTGGCCACGCCTAAAGGTTCATACGACGTTTTTGCTTAGCACGGAAGTATTGTCTTGAGCTCTGAATAAAATATGAAACTGAGCTCGAAAAAGTCCTTAAAGATGGTCATTTTTGGCGTCCAGGGTCATGATAACAGCACTGCTGTGCTAAGGAAAAACGCCGTATGAACATTCAAGAGTTGCCACATTCCCCCGAATAAAACATGTATTTTTGAGGAAAGTTTAGCACATATTTCCCTGGAATTTTCAGATATTTTAGATTAAATCGTGAACAAAATTAACTGAAAAATTTGAGGGAAAATATTGACAATTTTCTCAGTAAAGGCTTTTCTTGAAGGAAATATGACAACGTCCGAAGGCTCATAAGGCGTTGTTCCTTAGCACGGCAGAGCAGTACATCACTTTGTGGGAGGATTCCATGACGGGCTAAAACCAATTGCACTGAAAAAAAATTCTCGGCGTTTTTACCAAGGTCCGTTGGTACCTTTACCATCTCACTTTTTTTTTACTAATTATTGGTAATTTTACCAAGACAGACTTTTTTACTGTTTTTTCAGGTAAAAATACCTCTTTTATTAGTAATCAATTCCCGGTAACTTTGCCATTTTATCTCGGTAATTCTACCACACTCTATAAAAAATATTGGTGTTTTTACCAAGGTTCAGTAGTTTTTACCAAGGTTCAAAATTACCAATTCCATAAATGGTAATTTTACCAAGAAAAAACTGGGATCAAATAGAACCCTGAATTCTTGGTAATTTTACCCTTTTCTTAGTAAGTACATCGAGATTTTTTTTTCAGTGCAGAAATCCAGAGACCCAGAGTGGGGTTACCTCTGACTTTTCCCGGCGCTTTTTTCCCCCAAATCACCTTAGGTGCCTTCGTTTAACGGTGTTTATCAAAATTAGCTCAAACGTCAGTCGCTTGCGTCATAGAATAAGGATAAACCGCTAGGTCCTTGTGTCCAGCAAAAACTTATGACATTTACGTACCATAGTGTCAAGTGTGTGCGTCTAAAAGTGTTGAACGAAACAGGGTGCACAACGTCACCAAGACCGCGTGATTCCATTTTTTAAAGTTGTGATTCAGCCGTTCTTTGACTATGATAGTCTCTATAGTCACTCTTTGGTTTATGTCACACCAAATGACGCGGAATGAACCCATCTAAGCCGCTATATTCTTACCTTATTTTTGTTTACATCTCGAGGCCTATTTTGCATGACCTCATCACATTTCATGCTCAATAATTACCATCTCGATCTTTTTTTTTACCAAAAAACTGAGCCGCTTCTTCGAGTTAGGTTCATATCAGATGATTCTCCATCAGCTCCCAAAATATGGCACACTTCCCTGAGGGAGCCAAAAACGCCGATTTTGAATAGCGTCCTTTTTATCACATGTGGTAAGAAACTCACGACGAAAATACAAGACGAAATTACAAGATGCCGTTTACCAGATGATAGGATCGATTGACAAGAGTGGCGATTAAGTGTCGCAGAGCATCCGAGCGCGCTGTAAAAGCGACTTGTATGTATGTACGGTTGGTTGGTGGATTCGTTTATTTAAAGGTGCTTTTAACATCTGGTGGGTCATTAACACCTTAGAGGAGAGATCAAAATAGTGTAGTACATAATTTAAAAAATTTAAGAAGTACTGGTCACAAAAGGGTAGTACACGAAATTAAAAGATTGGACAAGGAAAGAATACATTAAGGTGATTCGATGGACGCCATATTTTGTGTCAGAACGGCATGCGATATATCGCATCAATTTGTTCCATTTTTTCAGCTACTCGTCATTTTTCTCCAATTTTGAGATCGCGATTCTGTTGTCAGGAGACTAAAGAACTCACTTACCAATTTTAACTAAGAAATTCAACGTGATAAAGGCGTGGTTTTTTCAGAGAGAAAATATCGCATTCGATACTGATATCGAAACTGCACTCGAATGCGATATTTTCTCTCTAAAAAAACCACGCCTTTATTACGTTGAATTTCTTAGTTAAAATTGGTAAGTGAGTTCTTTAGTCTCCTGACAACAGAATTGCGATCTTAAAATTGGAGAAAAATGACGAGTAGCTGAAAAAATGGAACCAATTGATGCGATATATCGCATGCCGTTCTGACACAAAATATGGCGTCCATCAAACCACCTTAATTCGTTTGAAAAAGAGAGGGATTTCATGAAAAAAACTTTATGAATGAAAGGAGGCTCACCGAGGACGCTTTGCTGCTGGACCCATTTTTGGGTGAGGATAAAATCAGGGTGACCGGGAATGGGGTCATCCGATTCCCACTTCCAGAGCACCCGGTATCCTCTCGGTAACTCGGCGAAGACCCGCAGAAAATTGGCGATGACGTAGTCGGTCAGAGATTTCGCTCGGATGTGACTCCCGAGGCTGAAGTAAATCACTCCCGTCTCCGCACCGTCCAAAAATGTCTTCACGCTCTGCAAAGGCGAACCAAAATGAGGAATTACCATCCATCATCAATTGAATAATTGAAAAATTACCATCCCGAATTGGATGCCACTAACAAAAAGGAACCAGCGCATTTACAGTGATTTCAAAATCGTGCAACCTTTTCTTTTCTTTCAAAAATACATAATATATATGTACAGTGTTGACTGTTGACTAGTGTTGAGATTTACACAATTATTCACCTTTGAAATTAACTTTTTTTTAAGAGGAAGCAAAAACCATTCGCTTTTCCGGGAGGTTTCTTAGATAATTATGAAGAAGCAAAATTTTTACAACACTGTAATCGCGCTGGATCCTTTTTGCTAAATGCGATCCAATTAGCATGATTGGGCTGAATGCGGGTATAGAAAAATTCTAGAAGAACGAACATGAAAGAGGAAGGGTGGAATGTTTTGCAAAAGCGAGGCTGAGATACGACGGATAGTTTTTTCGAGTACCTACAAAAATGGCGTATCCAACTCAAAAGGAAATCGTGCAGTTGAATAATTATTTTAACCGACTAAAAATCAAGGAAATGTCACCAGGAAAATAAATATTTTTTATCGATGCTCGAGTTAGGTTGCAACCATTACTATCTCAATTTTTTCAAAAATTGCACTTACGTGCCTTGTCCTCTAAGCCCCTCAATTGATATTTTAAACGAAATAATTTTGGAAAAAAGCGAAGAAGAATCGGACGAGAATGATTGCTTTGTCCGTGAGTAGATAAACCCCAACAGAAATTTGAAATCCAAGATATTATGATTATTAGGTGTTTCAGTCAGAGCACGAAATCATGCAGTTCGTTTTTCAAAGTCATCATTTTAAAAGAATAACAATAAAAAATCCTCCTCGAATATTCACATCTCTCTCATTAGCGGATCCAGCAAATTGGCAACATTGTTTTTCTCCATTGAAACCTATGGAAATGTATCGATTCTTGGAGGGGCCAGGTGCTCCGTCAAGAATCGATTATTTAACATAGGTTTAAATGGAGGGAATCCGGTGTTGCCAAATTGCTGGATCCGCCTCTGACCTCTCCGCTTCCTATTTAAGATGCAAAACTAATAAAGTAATTTAAATAAATTGAAAATACTTCAAAGTGGAAAAGTTTGAATTGCGTTGTTCTCATTGGCTACACGCTTAAGAACGCGCTGTGCGTAGCTGCTCAATGTCAACCGTCTCGCCAGATTGCAAAAGCAAAAATACGCCTCGGGCCCATTGATTCTGGACAGTGGCGTAGCGAGCTTTGCGATATATCGATAGATCTACCATTTAAACTTACGGAAAAGGATCGATAGATAGGGTGTTCGCAACAAACGCCTTAATAATCGATTCTTTACCATAGCTTCAAATGGGATAATATCGATAGTCGATTATCACGCCGCGCCACTGCGTTCATTCTAAGTTAATTTATTCATCGGCGAAACACTTGTCGTTTATACTCGTTCACTTTGACTCATTTGATCAGCTGTAATCGAGATTGAGGATCATATGCGGAGCTTCTGATTGTTCTCTATAATTCTGTACTGTCGTGCTACGGAAGAACGCCGTACGAATATTCAAGAGTTGCCAAATTGTCTCCGATAAAATGCTTATTTTTGAGGAAAGTCATGAATAAATTTCCTTGGAATTTTCAGGGAATCGTCTAGAAAATCCGAAGGTAAATACTCATAAGTTTACCAGGAAATTCGTGTTTTATTGAAGGAAATTTAGCAACGTCTGATGGTTCATACGGCGTTCTTCCTTAGCACGGCAGTGTATAGTGCCAAACGCCTCCCGTGTTGAGGAAATACGTAAGAGGAGCCTTCAAAATTTGCCAAATTTTCCTTAATAAAACACGATTTTTAAACGAAAGCATTTGAAAATATCTAGGAGTCATATTTCCATCTTTCTTCAAAAATAAACATTTCAAAAGAGATTCGGCAATGCATGCATATTCATACGAAGTTTATATTTTTTTTCGGCGTATTTTATTTCCTCCTGCAAATATCTCATAGCAGACGCACAAAAAACGTGGAACCAATGCGTTGAGCAAAATGCATCTTTATGGTCAATTAAAGCGCCTGAGAATACCGGTTTTATGAGATTTTTTTTAATCGAGACTTTAGCGGTGAAACCACGTTTGATTCTTGACGCAAATCAAATTCTCAGGTGTTTCCGAATAAAACATGGCAGGTATTGGTCTACAGGACGTAGTAATTTAGCAACAGGAAACGAAAAACTGAGTTTATTGTACCACATTTAAAAGGAGTGTCTAAAACAAAATGGCACAAAAATAACAAGCAGTGGCGTGGCGTGACTATATCCGGTAGGCGTTCGGTAGGAGTGTTAACTTTAGGGGGGGGGGGGGGTCAGAAAGGTTCCCTCCCCTTCCTTAAAGGGGGGTCCGGGGGGCCTCCCCCGGAAACTTTTTAAAAAATGAAGCCGCAAGAACACGATTTTAACCCTTTCTGGTGAAAATTGTTCCGGTAAATTGCCATTGAAAATTTGTTCTTTTTACCGATCGTTTTCCTGTAATTTATTTTGTTAAATGATAACGTATTTTCGCAACACGCACCTGCAGAGAGAGGTGGGAGAGGGAGACTGGGAAACTGGGAGATGCGGCCCGCAGGTGCAGGAGGGGAAGCGGAGGGCGAATCGCGGCATAGAGGAAATTCGGCGGTTCGCAAACCCCTGCGGACCACTGCTATAGGAAACAGCTGGACTGATGAGCGGCTTTCCTCTCTCGTTCTTTTCCCCTCTCTTTTCTCTCTGCTGTGTTCCCTCCGTGAGCGCGGTCCGCCCTCGTCTCCGAACCCAATGCTGACGCTCCGCTCTGCGCCGCGCGCCGGTGCCTCTCATCTCTCGTGTACCCTTTGCTCCTTCATCATTGCACCCAGGTTCTCTCTCCTCACCGTACGCAGATCATCCAGGTTCGGTATCGGTAGCCGGTACGGACCACGCGTCACAGGATTTTCTCTCTCCGCCGCGCCACATGCCGCTGTCGGAAGCCAAGCGCCCGATACTTATTTGCGATCTACTATTCTGTACCCTGTATTGCTTCCCACATTCTTGGCCATAATTTATTAATTGCTTCAAAATATTTTAGGGTGTTCGGCGAACACTGCGAACCTATGGACGCCACGCCACTGATAACAAGACATGTGCGAAACCGTAGCACAGCCTCAGTAGTGTAATACTGCCGTGCTAGGGAAGAACGCCGTATGAATATTCGAGAATTGCCAAATTTCCTTCGATAAAATATTTTTTTAGGAGAGTTATGAATAGTTTTCCTTGAAATTTCCAGGAACATTAGGTGAAATTGTGAACAAATTTATCTGCAAAATTGGGAGGCAAATATTCAGTAGCTTCATCGCCTCGTATAGCCCGACTGTATAATTTTCTTCGCTTTATGAAAATCATAAGTTGAAAACGCTGACTCCGCGAGTTTAATATACGAGCCTAACACAGAGTGGAGCGGCGCGGCGCGGCGTACTGCCATGCCGGAGCGAAACTAGCAATGTCGCCTACAAACCTAAGGGGATACTTCACGCATTGCGCAATGCTTGAAGTATCCCCTTAGGTTTGTAGGCGCCAACGCGCGTTTTGCACTGGCTGGCCGAGCCGCAGCGTGCCACGGCGCCTCAAGCAACTAATTCACAACAGAAATTTTGCACAGTGTCATACGAAATTGAAGGCTTTTACCACCTACATGATTTTCTATCTCTTTCTAAAGCCGGCTATAAGAATTCTTATGGAATTTTGAAACGCAGCTCAGCCAATTTTTACCGGACTTTAGCCAGTTTCATCGTAAAATGAATCACCTGAGACAATTTTTGAGGTGTTCCTTGGATGTGCAAAGGTCCAACCTCCACAACGTTGGGTCCGTATAATCGTGGATAGTTGTAGATACTGTTGGAGGCCACCAGCAGTAAATCCACCCGTTCCCAAGAGGCATCGACAACTTCCGAAGTTTTCTCTCCCAGCTCCGACCTGAAAATAGAAATTGACAGTTGCATTCGACCCCGAGGAAAGTTACAATGATGTGTCACGCGTACAAATCGCGCTTTATTTATTAATATCAGAGGGTGTAAAACAAGCGGGAAAGCTCTAATACGTTCGTATTAGAGGAGCGCTCAGCTGTGTTCTGTGCAGGCGCGTTTTTAAGTTCCCCGAATGAGATAAGCAACGTTGAATGAAAAAAACTCGCCTCACCAAAATTTCAAGTATCAATTTTAAGAAAACTACACTACCGTTAAAAAATAAATTATACCTAATTTATATTTTGAAAATTTTTCCATTTTTATCAGGACCTAGTTGATGTTTTCCTAATGTTTTCTGGCGTCAATGAAAGGAAAAAACCCAGGAGATCAGGAAGAATAGGTAGGTAAAAAACAAAAATTCTCTAAGAAAACATATAGCTATTTTTTTTAACCCTTAGATGTCCAAGCCAGGTTAACTGACCCGATGCTTGCCAAAAACACGTGGCCTACGGGTTGTGTGAGGCAGGTACTCGAGAGCTTTAGATATGAGTCTACAAATGCATTTTAGTAAATGAATCATACATCAAATTGAGAAAAAATCAAACAAAAATCGAGTGGCACTGCAGCCGAACATAGGAAACGCGTAATTCGGCCTCGTTTTTTTAAATTTTCTCTCGAATTTGAGCGACTAGCAGCATGGAGTGGAGCACCGTGAGTTCACGCCTCGCGCCATCGCGCCTTCAATTTTGCAGACGCAGCACGGACATCCATCAAGCACGAATAGTTGTATCTCTGCGCCGCCATCAACACTCATCCTCTCCCTTCCTTATTTTCACGTGTGTGGATTCCATTAGTCTTATTTTAATAAAATATGTGCAAGCACTACGTGAGCAACAAAGCCGAAGATGTCATTTTTCGTATTAAATGGGGTATATGGTTATTTTTTTTTTTTTTTTCAAAGAAAATTTTACTGTTCCTCGGCTATTAAGCATTGTCATACCTATGTTTAAAAAAAAGGGGAAAAAGGAAAATCATCGTGATTTTTGACCTATTTTTTGTAAGAGACGACTCTTCTTTTGGCTCTGGGTGAAGTCGGCAACAGGTTCACTCTCGAAAAATCAAATTTACATGGATCCATTCACTGAAGCAAAATTCTCGGCTTTTTTACCACGGCCCGTTGGTACCTTTACCATCTCACTTTTTTACCAATTATTGGTAATTTTACCAAGACAGACTGGTAAGCGTACCTAAAAACCGGTATTTTTACTGTCTTTTTCAGGTAAGAATACCACTTTTATTGGTAATCAATTCCCGGTAACTTTGCTATTTTATCTCGGTAATTCTACCACAGTCGATAAAAAATATTGGCGTTTTTACCAAGGTCCAGTAAAATTACCGAGAAAGTTCAATAATTTTACCGAGATTTCTCGGTAAAATTACCAATTCTATAAATAGGAATTTCACCAAGAAAAAACTGGGATCAAACAGAACCCTGAATTCTTGGTAATTTTACCCCTTTCTTAGTAAATACACCGAGATTTTTTTTCAGTGTTCTATGTATTCACCTGAAGTGCTCGACAGCCGAGCTAGTGATGATTGACTTGACGCGGTACTTGATGTAGGTGTGGCTGAGCCAGTTCTCGATCTTCTGGAAGACGTTCATGCGGTCGGTGTAGGGGCTGAGGATGGAGGGGCTGAAGGACAGGTGGTTGAAGGATCCCAAGTGCTCGTCGATTAGCCATGGCGAGGGGAGGGTGCTCAGCGCGATGACCGGCTTCCGTCCTGGACCAGCCAGCAGATCCGCGGCGATCGACAGATGCGTCGCGTAGTTCGCGTCCACGATCACAGAGTCGAAAGTCATGTTCTGCGACCGGATCTCCCTGTTCAAAAATGCAATCTTATGTTAGTTTTTAAACCTAACTCTACTCTGCTGCATTAAGAGCAAAAAAGCTTGAAAGAGCAAAAGAGCAAAAGAGCTTTGAATTTTCGTGCGGTACCAAATTTCTAGGGGCGAGCTCAGAGAGAAAACTCAAATTAATATTAATTGAATCGACGTATGCGATAACGTCCGATGTCCAAGACAGTCCCTGCTAAAAATGGTGAGTACCTACAAATGAGTAGAAAATCAAAGTCATATGAATAGAATTCCAATTCATATGAATAGAATTTCAACGCATATGAATAGAATTCCAACTTAAATGAACAGAATTTAACTCATATGAGCAGAATTTCTCTATTCACTTTTCGCCGGCTCATATGACTAGAGATTCCAACTCATATGACAAGAGATTTCAACTCACATGAGTTCAGCGTTGAATCTACCGTGTCCGATATCTCAGAAACTAGTCACCGCGTCAAAAAAATTATAAGAACAAAATGTTCTTATTTTTCAAAGTTATATATTATGTCGGTATCTCCTGATCAAAAACACCACTTCTGAAAAATGAAAACAATTGAATTCATATGAGTTGAACTTTTCTACTCATGTGAGTCGACGAATTCTGAATAGCCTGCTCATCATTTTTAGCAGTGGGTGTTTCAGAATTTGAGTGGACAGTTTCGTTGTAACGTAACGAAACAAGATGGTTCAAAACGTTAGGAATGTAGAACAGTTTTATAAATAATCCCTTAAGTGTAATTAAAGGTTTACAAAAGAGATCGATCCTATACATCAGTGTCGTGGGACAAAAGAAACCCATCGCAATTATGAAACCCGGTATTGCACAACAGACGTTTTCGCATACGTCGATTCAATTATGATGCACTGAAAAAAATACTTATGGTTATGTGGTGAGAGTCCGTTCTGCATGGAAAATCTAACGTATGAATTGCGCTCACTAGATGGCTTTCACGGCTAGAGCAGAGATGTGCCGTAAATATGTCGTTTATGGAAAAGCAGGTGTATGCACTTACTGTTCATACGGTATGGACGTTGGGTCCACGCGGTATGGACTCGGAGTCCATACTCTTTGTATGTACTTCCGAACCACCCTCAAGTGACGACTTGACAGGTTCTGTCACATTCGGTTTTGGAGGGTGAATTTTAAGTTCAAGTAGAGCGGGCAATAATTATATCCATACGGCTCCTGACCCCTATAAATTTTTTAGCACGGTGTTTTTTTCAGATCAGGGCAAACATAAAACATGTAAAAAGGTCAGCACTCTTCTGTGCGCCCGTGCACGTGTAATTGCGTTCTCGTATTTGAGAGACTTTTACGCTGGGCCAAACATGTTTAAATGTAATTGAATTAAATGCTGACTCATGTTTAAAAGGATTCTGAGCTTTTTCTTTCAGCCCCTGTTAGTCAAAAAATGTTTTTCTGTGTGTTGCTTTCATTTGATGTGACAATATTGCCTATTACCTTTTGACTCCGATTGCATATCGACGGTGTAAGTCCGCAGCCACGTATCTCGTTTGCGGTGTTTCAAAATCTCCGCTCAGTACACAATATTTTTTTTTATCAAGAATTTTAAGAGTCAGGACTCTAAGTCCAAGACACATAACTAATATAAATTACTTTTTCGAATACAATCGAAAAAGTAATCAATAAGCCAGCAGAATTTGGTCAGTATTTGAATATTTGTTTACTTCTGGAATTGATTTACTTCCATTAATGATCCCGATCCGATTCAAATCTGTCACGAAGGCGTGGCGCTGCTACGAAAGACTTGAGTTGGGTTAGGTTAGGTCACGCAACTATATCAACTCCGCGGTAATGCGGGAGGTGTCGCACGAAAATGAAGGCGCGCAGCGCGCCATCGCTGGATTGCGCAGATATCATATGCAGCTACAAGCTGCAATTCGACGGCGTAAGTCCGCGATCACTTATCTCGTTTGCGGTGTCTGAAAATCTCCGCCTCCGTGTTATTTCTTTAAAGGAGAACAAATTGGGATCATTCCTCGAAGTTTCCGCAGCATTCTTTTAGCACTGAGAGAAAAAATCACGGCAGTTTTCAAGAATTTCCGTCGAGTAGTTTTTTATTTAAAGAATGAAGTATGGCAGGAAGTCTACGACGCAGCAAACCGAAATACGTGGTTGCGGACCTACACAATCGATATTTATAAACATCAATGGCGTGGCGTGCTTTGCGATAAATCGATGTTCTGCCATTTAAACCTATGGTAGAGAATCGATTACCAAGGTGTTCGCTGCGAACACCCTGATTATCGATCCTTTTCCATAGGTTTAAATGGCATAACAATCGATATATCGCAAAGCACGCCACGCCACCGATAAACATGCATGGGAAATTAAGCTCTCTGGCAGCTACGTGGCCCAGATCCTAGATGGACGCTTCGCGCACTCAAAGATTCGAAACTTTAAAGAGGACAGGGTCATTTGCAGGCCAAAATCAGTAGCGTGGCGTGAATTGCGATACATCGATTGTTATACCATTTAAATCCATGGTAAAGAATTGATTATTAAGGTGTTCGCTGCGAACACCCTGTTCATCGATCCTTTTCCATAGGTTTAAAAGGCCAATGAATCGATGTATCGCAAAGCACGCCACGCCACTGGCCAAAATATAATGATAGCCACAAAAATCATAAACATCGGGCTCAAAAATCTCTTTAGAACGAACTATGCCCAAAGAATTAAATTTCATATTATTTCAATGAAGAAATTCACAGTTTCATCATGTAATATTAAAAAAATTGAGCTGTTTTTCAAAAATTTACAGAGATCAGAATCTTCAAAAAATTACTTTCTCCTAACAGCCGCAAAAAGAGTACCGCAAGAATGTACACGATCCTTGTAGCGTTGCAAGGCACTAGGTTTCCTGTTAATTTCGGTTCATATGAATGTTTTACTTGTGACAGCACTATAGCTAGGACAGTAAAAAAGTAATCATACGTATCTCAGATCAATGTCTCAAAGTATTAAGGTGATTCGGTGGACTCCATATTTTGTGTCAGAACGGCAGACCCGCCGGCAGAATGCGCCGAACACAGCGCGGTCAGCACGACACGCATATTAGCGCCTTCAAGACTGAATGAATACTTCACGCATTGCGCGTTCGCTACGGAGCGCAGTGCGCTCTCAAAGGTGATTCGATGGACGCCATATTTTGTGTCAGAACGATGTGCGATATAACGCATCGAATGGCTCTATTTTTTCAGCTACTGATCATTTTTCTCGAATTTTGAGATCGCAATTCTGTTGTCAGGAAACTAAAGCACTCACTCACCAATTTTTACAAACAAATTCAACGTAATAAAGGCGTGGTTTTTTTTTAGAGAGAAAACATCGCATTCGATACTGATATCGAAACTGCACTCGAATGCGATATTTTTTCTCTAAAAAAACCACGCCTTTATTACGTTGAATTTCATCGTTAAAATTGGTAAGTGAGTGCTTAAGTCTCCTGACAATATCAAAATTGGAGAAAAATGACGAGTATAGCTGAAAAAATGGAACCAATTGATGCGATATCGCATGCCGTTCTGACACAAAATATGGCGTCCATCGAATCACCTTAAGACAATTTAAAGGATGCTAGTCCAATAAAGATTATTTTTCAAAGCGACTCATGACTTCACCGGTTGAGCCGTCCCGTCAGTAGCCCTTCCCTTCTCCAGTTTTTAATGAATGAATGAGCTACTCCACCGTACGTAGGAAAAACCACGGATCTGTACATGGGGTACCTAGTGAAGTTATGTGGTTCTCCCTTAGCGCGGCGAGCGTAATTAATTATGGAAGATCACCGGTTTCAATTCATCGTACAAGAACTAGCCGCATTCTTCACTGTCGAGACTTCAAGCTCCTCTTCACTGCGCGTGGCAAGTTCCACCGCACAGTGGAAAAGAGATCCTACATTGTGGTCTAAATATTTGGCGGATTTTTTTTTTTTTTTGATTTTTTGATTTTTATTTTTATTTATCTTTTTTTTTTTTTTTTTTTTTTTTTTTTTTTTTTTTTTTTTTTTTTTGCTTTGGAAGTGGGGAGAAAACCGAGTTCCGGCAGCTACTGCTCGCATGTGCCAGGAACGGGAGGCCAGCGAGCTAATTATTGAAATTGGTAGACAAAGCTATAGACAAAGGAGACATAGGGAGTATAAAGCTATCCTATCGGTTGAAATGGGTGGTTCCCCTAGACTAAGGGAGAAAACGAAGGACTAACTATCGGGTCTCTCGTGGGTTGTCGTTAGTTAGCCTATTACCTACCTTCTTTGTCCTTGCAACCACTTGCTTCCACCAATAGGATCCATCCAAATCTCTTTTGTCTTATTCGCCTATAGCTTTGTCTATCAACTTCAATAATCGGCCCTCAGTCCCACCTGTTGACAGCCGTAAGAGATGGCAATTTTTAAAAAAAATGACTTTTTCCGCCCAAAAATCGATTAAATTCGACCTATTCTTATTAACGATGTGAAATCGGAATCGAATTTTCGAGCCGAATAAATCGAATATTGGAAAAAATCGAAATGCTCCCCCGTTTATATGTCACACAAGACCAAGGTTCCATGAAACCTGAGTTTCATTTCAAGTTCAGTTTTAGTAGCGGTTATGTTTTTGTTGCCGAACTTGGGTTTTGACAATGTGTGACACAAAGCGGGAAAAGTCATACCATACGCGAGGGCGGGGTGCGATCAAATTAAGAACAGATTTAAGATAAGCAAATCGTAGGTTTCCTTCAGCGAAAACCTTACACTGGAAAAAAACACACATTGGATCTAGAGTCCAGATTCTTGAAAACATTGACAAGAAAAAATACTCTTGATTCAATCAGATTTTTGCTTCAATCAAAAGGGAATCCGCTCAAAGACTTGGTTCTTGATTTAAGCAAAAATCCGATTGAATCAAGAGTAATTTTTCTGTTCGATGTTTTTAAGAGTCTGGACTCTAGATCCAATGTGTTTTTTTTCCAGTGTACATTTAAAACTGAGTTATAAGGTGGAGCTTTATCATTCTGGAGGACAACTCGTCGCTCCTCTAACGTTAGAGAACATCTTAATTTCCACTTGAGCCTTGTTTTACACACAAATTCATATTTTCTGTGGAGCTCACGTGGAAATCGAGATATGCATGCCCTTACGCCAGAGAGGTGACGAATTCCATGTCTGACCGATCAATTGATAAATTCCTAGATTTTTAAATATTTTTTCAAAGTTCCTCAAATGTCACATCACGCTGTAGTTCATCAAGTGTTTGCACAAACTATTACAGAGCAGCAAGGAAAAGTTTTTTTTAAAAACACTTTAAAAGTACGCACCGAGTGAATTTCCCAAATTGAAGGACGTGTTCCCTATTCCTCGATTAAATTTTGTGTACCGATATCATTTAACTCAATAATTCAATGTAATTTTTTTTTTTTTTTTTTTTTTTAAATAAATTAATATTTTAAATTCCAGAAATTATTGATCGACGATCGCATCGTCTTTTAAAGAGAGAATATAATTTCAAACGTCTTATTCTCGGTTCCAACTTAATAAAACTTGATAAACTTTTGTTAAACTTGATCCATTTATCGTGCAATAATAACAAACTGTTCAACAGCCGAAATTTTCAAATGCTTTCCTTCAGATATGATCCACGTTCTAACTTCACATTTTGATCCACTGTGTGGTCCATTACCACTAGATAGGATCGCGGCTACCATGTCAAGATTTTATTATTTACGGCATCAAGACCTACGTTTTTCGTTTTTGTTTATAGAGCGGTTTAATAAAATTCCATCCAGATGTTGTCTTCCGAATCATATGGACGATGGAAAAATTTTGTTATTTTCAGAGTGTGCTGAGATGAAAGTGGAATTTTTAGGGGGATGCATTTTTGCACCAGATGTGGTGAGCCGTGAATACTCGATTATCGATACTCACCCATTTGAAGCTATGGTAAAGATCGATTATTACGGTGATCGTTGCGAACATCCAGTGTATCGATCCTTTTCCATAGGTTTAAATGGCAGATCAATCGATTATCGCGAAACACGCAAGCGCAAAACGCCCCTGTTTTGCACTTCTAATCATTGCCTCGCCCATTCAAAGGCTGGACTTCAGGATCAATTTGCGTGAGTATAGGCGACCTCAAGAATTGAATTGAATTGAATTTAGGTTTGTCAAATTGGATGTATTTATCCTTTTAAGGAGCTATGTGCGAATGAATTAAATAAAAAAGAAGTACAAAATGAACAGTGGCGTGGCGTGAATTGCGATCTATCGATTGTGATGCCATTTAAACCTATGGAAAAGGATCGATAAACAGGGTGTTCGCAGCGAACCCCTTAATAATCGATTCTTTACCATAGGTTCAAATGGCGTAACAATCGATATATCGCAATTCACGCCACGGCACTGAAAATGAAGCGCAAAAAGCTTTCCTGCGCCATTTAAGCGAAGAACTAGTTCAATCACACATAATTTTTTAAAGAGTAGTTTTGTTCTTTTAAATTTAACTCGAAACTGATAAGACTTTCTTCATTATCAGCCTAAGTATTGAATGATTTCTACGAGCAAATTAGCAGAGCTTTGATGCAACGGAACCGCAGAATACGTGGTTTTTCCGAGATTTAAAAAGATTTTATTGAGGCCGGACCACGGTTGAAAATGTTTATTCACTGTTTTTTTTTATACAAAAAATACAAACATGCATTAGAAAAACAGCCAATAAACATTCCCAACTATAGTCCGGCTTCGATCAATTATTTTAAAAAAAATTACGTACATGTACCTAACTGACAGAAAATAATATTTAATTACTTGAAATGCCATAAAAATAGAATTAAGAAAAAACGGAGGAAGAGGGCTCCTTTTTTTGATGAGGATGAGATGAACCTCTCTCTTAAAATGTGATTTTTTTTGACCGGCATTGCAGTTCTTCACTGAAAAAAAAATCAACATTGAAGGAAGACATTTGCATCTCTAAACTCACGCGTCAAAGCGCATATTCTCTTTTTTTTCTACCGTGTCTGCGATGACGTGCTAGATACTGCCTCTTTTCGATGTTTTTTCATCCGAGTTTTTCAAAGAGGTTACATTTTTTTTTTTTACGAAACTTTAAGGTGCAAACTGTGAAGGTAAACTTTTTATAGTAAAGTGAATTCGTGGAGAAAAAAATCAGTAGACTGAAAGATTAGCTTGGTCGTAAAATATGCCGACGTCAATAATTATGTCCGCCACTTGTTTCGAATAGATGTTATATTTTTACCGAGTGCAGCGTTTGAATTTATTGATTAGGAAAACTACTTTTTCTCGTTTATTAATTAGCATTGGCCATTTTGGACGTGTGTGCTATTTTGTACGCGAAAATGAGGAAATATCCATTATAATTAAGTTCTAATCCTCTATAACGATTTATTTCTTCAGCTGTTTACGACCATTAAATTTAATTTCAGGTTTTTACACTCATCAAACAGTATCAAAATTTCAACTTTCCTCTATATAAAAAGTTCTCATGTATCTATTCTATATTCTTCAGTTTAGTGCTCATAGACGTGTCCAAGGGGGAAGGGAAGGGGACGGGGTTAAGGGGGCGTATGCCCCCCCTCCTTCGCCGAAAAAAAGGCGAAAGAAAAAGAGGAGAAAGAGAGAAGGAAGGACGCTTATTTTGGTAATTACTAATGACGAAATTGACTCAAACTGCATATTAGATGCTTTAAAATTTTGACAATTTTATGCGGAAAATATGCCGAACCCCCCTTCTCCTTTTCGACGTGACTAGGTCGGCATATGGTAGTGCCAAAGGGTGCGCTCACCGTTGTGTCAATGCCACATGCAAATAGTCAAATCCTAGGTATATTAGTCCTAGGTTAGGTATTTGATCAAATACCTGAAGTTACAGTAATTCTACGTTAGATTGCGTGACTCCGAGACTCTCCCTAATTTTTGGCAATAAATTCTTCTAGCAAAGTGTGTTGAGACCAAATGGACGTATTTCTGCCAAACAGAACTATGTGCATTATGACGTGAGTCCTATTAGACATATATTCTTATGGGTCTCAGGGCTCATGCCCTGATGCACATAGTTCCGTTTGGTAGAAATACGTCCAAATCATGGTTCAGACCGATTTCAGTCCTTAACTTAACCTCTGCTTTCAAGTAAAGCAGACGTTCATTCGGACCGAGTTTAACAGAAAGAAACCAACCCACGTTAAATTGAGACTGAGGAAAAGAGATGTGAGGATTTATTCTTCCGTAAGACTCCATGTAGAAAATAAACTTTTACCCCTCTTTTAAAAAACTATTTTGTTTTTTCGACCATGAGTTTTCAGCAGGAGAAAATATACAACTAGATGAACTCAAAAACATTCTTACCTAACTCAATTTTTTCAAAAATGTGGATTGGTTCCTCTCTGATGAACTCGGTCCATTCGTTTTTCAGCTGAGACAAAGGCATCATTACTCGAGATTTTGAAACTTTGCTATCGAGGAACACGCATTTCTCAACTTTCACCATCAATACACTAAAAAAATGTCTTATCTCCCTTTGGGTTGCTGAGAGCAAAATCACCTACCTCCTGATTCGTTGGAACCGGTCACTCGCTAACAAGCTCTCGACATATCTCACGTAGTTGGGCACCAGACTAAGCAGCTCCCATTTTGTCACAGGTCGCTGCAAGTCCACCCCCAGGACAGGGTTGACATCATAGGGCGAATAATACTCTGAGGGTAGCTTTGCGTAGGAGTAATTGGCGTGTTGATCCTGTAACAAATTGTGTTCCTGTACGTAAACGTCTGGTTTTTAAACCATGTTAAGCAGTCGAGGTGACTTTTAAGGTTTGTTCGGACCCACGAAGAAATGCTCATTTTATGATCTAACAGAGCCGGATTTTTGCATTTTTGACTAAACATTTTTTGTGTCTTTTTTAGACAAAGTACCCCCTCAAGAGCTTTTGAAAAACGTCTTTTAAAAGTTATTGCACCAGAACGATCATTAAGAGCTTTGTAACACTTGCAATCGAAGCAATGGAACCATTTATCACTTTGTACTACAGTTTCTTTTTCAAATCACTTCTGTAGTCTAATAATTTTCATCCGGCGCACAATGGATTGAGTCAATCAGAGAAGTTGGACATGAAATTTTAAACTAAATCTGCAAATGTTAATGTTTATTTCGTCCCATTTTAAATTTCAATGGGTGTTTAATGAAGAAAATTTTACGAGGAAACCAATGGAACCATCTTTGGAACCTTAAAAGTTTGTATAAACGGAGTTACAAGCGTTTAAAGTTTCCAAATTGTGTTCGACCTATTATATTGGCTCAATCCACCGTGCGGCGTCGGGCTCGATCGACCAAGAATCCCTCTTTCATACTGACGTTATTTACCTCCAAAGTAGATGGGCCAATTAATGTGACCTGATGACCTTTCTCCAACAAGGCCTCCACCAAAGCATTGACCGGCATTTGTTGACCTGAAGCCAGGGACGGGAACAAAACCAAAATATTCGAAGATTCAATAACAGAGCCACAGAATAAAACCAAAAATCCTAGTCGAAGCCACATTTTGGATAACAAAGTATTCGCACTTTTTCGATGCCGAACCACGGTATCAAATTTTCCGGCGCCTTCCGACACGAGCAACTCCAACCACGGTTGGAAGGGTTGGATTTAATTGAATCAAAAAATAGGCACGTATCTTAAACCGACGCGCACGAAGGAATATCCGAAAATGTCATTTGCAAACTAATCAATTTTTTCTCTAAGAAATATCAAACTTCCGTGGTAAAAATCAAAACGAGAAATTTTTTCTCCAAAAAATATCAAACTTCCGTGGTGAAAATCAAAACAAAAAAATTAGCGGTGAAAATCGATGGGTATGACTTTACTACAGGTCAATTTTGAGTTTAACAATAAATTTTAAAATATACAGTATCTATTCACTTTTTTTTCTCAAAAATGTAATTTTTTTTTTAATGTAATTTGTTCTGCTATTTACATTTTGAGTTTAAAAAATTGGTCGATGGAGACTTTTTATTCCGGTGTAGGATGTTCCGCACGAATTTACGCAACTGTTTCGAAAATCATAACCGCCGAAAATTGCGGCCGTACGCCGCCACTAACCGTCTAAAATGGCAACTCACCGACCGCGCAAATAAGAATTCATCTAGACCACTGATTTAAAATCAAGGCTTCGAGACCCTGATTTTCAAAAGCAATTCGAGGGACAGAGACGCCAAAAAAATTCAGAACGGACTGCGGAAATCTGAAGCGAAGATTTTCCGATTCGAGCCGCGCAGCCGTGTCCAACTTCGAAGACTGGAATTTGGATTTCAGCCGATTTCGATCGACGGATTCGCGGGTCGGTCCGCGGATTTTTTTCCCGCCTCGGCGATCGCAAGGTCACGGTTTGAACTACACTGATCTCAGAAGCTGCCTCCGGATCGGTATGACCTATCGGTTCCTTGTTTACCTGATACGATTTAATTCTTGCATCGACGTTCGTTTCGCTTCGCTTGTCCCTCATCATCCCTCTCGGTTTGGAAAATTCTTGTGGAAAAGTCCCGAGAACAACTAAAATGGAGATGTTGCATGTGTGCAGAATTTACGATTTGACTGTTGATTCTTATGTAGAAGTTGGCGAGAAACACGATGGTGCTACTGGTTTTCTCTAAAATCAACTCTCAAGCTCAAAAAAAGCTCTCAAGTTGAGGCCAAAATGGCCGGGGATGTATCCTACACTATCCTGAGAGTCCACCTCTATATCAAGACAAACTCTCTATGCAAAGATAGGGAGCAAATACATTGACAGGGCTGCCACCTCATTTGGGGACTCTAAAACTGAAAACATAGCAACCCTGCTAATGTATTTGCTCCCTATCTTTGTATGGAGAGTTTTTCTTGATGTAGAGGTGGACTCTCGGGATAGCGTAGGATATCCCCTCCATTTTGGCCTCAACTTGAGAGCTTATTTTGATCTTGGGAGTTGATTTCAGAGAAAACCAGTGGCACCATCGTGTTGCTCGCAAACTTTTACATGAGAATCAACAGTCAAATCGCAAATTCCTCAAACATGCAACATCTCCATTGGACGTATTTCTGCCAAACGAAATTATGTGCATTATGACGTAAGCCCTGTTCTGCCGTGCTAAGGAAGAGCGTCGTATGAGCAATCGAGAGTTGCCAAATTTCCCTTGATAAAAAAATGTATTTTTGGCGACATTCATGCATGTGCCATTTTAATAAGGGATATTGATTCTTGCGATGGACAAAAACTTTCAGATTCACCAAGCAATTGATTATTTAAACTTTCGAGACCGTGCGTCAGACTACTAAACGCGACCTTTTGATCAGAAAACACATTAAAAAACAATCAGATTTACGCCTTGTTTAATGCCCTCCAACTCGGTTTGCGATTTTGTCTGATAGACATGGGACGTTTACACAGGACTTATATTAGGAGCAATTAATTTTTTTCCTCAGTTGTGTGACGTGAGGGTCAATACTCCAATCAGGGAAATCCTCTCTCCCCAAGTTTTTGTCAGCGAAATGGACGTATTTCTGTCAAACGAAACTAAGCACCAATTTGAGTTCCTTTTGAGGAATTTAGAATGCCGGATATAGCGCGTTTTGTCAAACGGAACCAAGCGCCATGGAAAAGCATTGCGAGTATAAGATTGAATGACCCCGACGCCACATTCGTTTCACATAGCTGTAATTGTATGAGGTTTCCTTTCTTTCATTAAAAAACAACCCACTTACCTCTTAAATTGCAAAAAAGTTCAGTAAAGAGGTAATTCAGGGGGTCTATATTATACACATCCTCTTCATAGGACCTAATAAGATTTCCTGAAAGCGTTCATTTTCGGAAAATTTTAAAAACTTTTCTCTTTCCACCACTAATAAAAAATCTTATCATGGGCCCTCAGGCTGAGAAAAATTCAAGTTGAAGTCATAGAAATCGTCGTGTAGAATAATTGGAAAGCAGAAAACCTTCATTTGGCGTCCTCATACAATCGTTAAAATAAGGATTCAAAGAAAACGGAAAATGTTTTCAAAATGAACCTGTCGCGAGGAACTTATTTTTCTGGCGTTGGTAAGACATTTTATAGTTCAATGTCCCAGCTATTTTCATGTCCTTAAGTAAAAAGTATGAGTAATAATGCCTCATGTCTGAGAGGACTTTTTTTACTAGTAGGGCTTTTTAGTGACGTACTTAGCAGGGACGTATCGCTCTTTATGTACGTCCGTTCGTACGTGCGCGTAGTGCTGAAACGTTTAAAACTGGTGTACCGGAGATAATGGTTCGTTAAGGTTATAGTAGTGAAAAAAGCACAGACGTCAAGCTCAAAAAGAAAATGTCAAAGGGAAAGGAGATTGAGGTCACATCAGTTTTTTACTCTACATCACTTTGATCCCACAAAAAGTGTTAAGCTTCCATTTAAAGACCATGAATCATTTCTGGACGTATTGCTGCTGTACGTAACTATAGACGAGTGGGAAAGATAGGGTTTGCTCGAGAAAGCTGGATAAGAAACAATGTAAAAGTGGGCCTAGTTTCCTTTGGGAAATGGAAAAGCGGAAAGTTCTAGTGTAAGGCATTCATGAGCCTTGGGTATGGGACAAGAGCGTTGTGGACAGGGTTCATGAGTTAAAGACGCACACAGGCAACCGCTGACGTCACTGGTGCTATATAATTACCATTCATTCCCCGCTAAAAATGATGAGTAGGCTTTTCAGAGTTCGCCGACTCACATGAGTAGAATGTCCTACTTATATGCGTATAAATCCTACTCATATCACTAGAATATTCTACTCATAAGAGTAGAAAAGTTCAACTCATATGAATTCAATTGTTTTCATTTTTCAGAAGTGGCGTTTTTGACCAGGTGACACCGACTTTTAATGTAAATTTGAAAAATAAGAACATTCTGTTCTTATGATTTTTTTTTTATGCGGTGACTAGTTTTTGAGATATCGGACATGGTAGGTTCAACGCTGAACTCATGTGAGTTGAAATCTCTAGTCATATGAGTTGGAATCTCTAGTCATGAGTCGGCGAAAAGTGAATAGAGAAATCCTGCTCATATGAGTTGAATTCTATTCATATGAATTGAAATTCTATTCATGTGACTTTGATTTTCTACTCATTTGCACTCACCATTTTTAGCAGGGTTCTTACGGCCCTCGACAAACGAACACACCTCCTCTTTCCCACCTATATCTGGTTCCGTTTAGCAGAAATAGTCCAAGTAGCTGGTGACACTCGGGATATTTTGAACTTTCATCCTTCAATTGACGACAGTGGCGTGGCGTGATTTGCGATATATCGATTGACCTGCCATTTAAACCTATGGAAAAGGATCGATACACAGGTTGTTCATCACAAGCACCTTAATAATCAATTCTTTACCACCAGGGCCAGATTTACCTACTCGCCACCCATGGGCCGCCTATATTTTGCCGTCCCCCTCTCATTCGTTTTGAAACTCGATAAAAACCATCAAATGAACGTGCCAGCGGGGGAGGGGTACATAAGACGCATTTAGTCGTGTTGAACACATTTTTGGGAAAGCCCCGTCAACACTAATAGCAAAAGTTCTCGAAACTTTGCGCGAAAGTTAAGTTCCGTAAACCTATCTCTGTGTGGACAAGGCCTTCCATTCATAAGAAATGAACGAAAAAATTATGAAAGAACAAACATAAATGTGGTTCAATGATTTTAACTTCCGCCGCCGCGCCGCGCAGACAGCACCGTGTTGGATGCAATGCGTGAAGTATTCACGCAGTCTTGTAGGCGCTATGCGTTTCACGCTGACCGCACTGTGTTTGGCGCAATGCGTGAAGTATTCATGCATTCTTGTAGGCGCTATCCGTTTCACGCTGACCGCAATGACAGCTCTGTGTTTGATGCAATGCGTGAAGTATTCGTGCAGTCTCGTAAGCGCTAATATGTGTTACATGCTGATTGCCGCGCCGAGGGCTTCTCCTTTTCATCTCAAATCCTCGTTATAATTTCTCTCCAAGTCGCGCCGTTCCAGGCCAAATTGCGTGTTTGATCTCTCTCTTAACTCAACTTATTGAAGGTGCTGTCTCTTGTGCCATTAAGAGACGACAAAATTAGAAATTACTATACCCTCAGGAAATGAGAGATTTTGTCGCCTTTCCTCGTTTGTAATTTTGTTTTTATAAATCCGATTTTTTTATACCTACACTTTAAAAAATTGCAAATTTTTTCCGCCCCTTAGATTTGCCGCCATAGGCCGGCTTGCCACTGATTTACGGCTCAGTGTGACAATCGCGCATATTAGTGCAGTTCTGAATTAATGAAATTACATGTACACTCGAAGACACGCATGGCGAGTGCGCGCAAAGGCTTGAAAGCATGCGTAGTGCGTCGACTGCTGTTCACATACATGGAGTGCTTGCAATTGGCACTCGCATAAAACCGACGCACGCGTGTGAATACAGCCACAAGTTCAAGGTGGCTATCGCGCATTCCATTGAGGAACACCGATCAGGTGGGCATATTGCCATATCTCCTTGTTTATCAGTAACCCAGGCTTAATGGACCAGAATGAATGAGGGGCTTGGAGGATAAAGCGCATGAGTGCAATTTTAGAAAATTGATATATCAATGATTTCAAGTAAAACTAGTCTAAATGCATTATCTGTGAAAAATTCGCTCCTAAATTCCAACTTTTAAGCATCAAAAAGTCAGTTTGAACTTTCTCTCCGCCAGAAGGATCCATGTAATTTCGAACTTCTAACCAGGAAATTCATGTCTCATCAAAGAAAATTTGGCAACGCTTGAAGGTTCATACGGCGTTTTTCCTTAGCACGGCAGTAATCTACGTAGAAAAAATATTAGTACATAATTACATATCGATGGTGATACTGCCCGGGTCGGGTTTACCCACTTGCCGCCCATGGGCCGTCTGTATTTTTCCGCCTCCTTCTCATTCGTTTTGAAACTCGATAAAAACCATCAAAAGAAGGGGGAGGGGTGCATAAGACGCGTTTACTCGTGTTAAACACATGTTTTGGGAATGCCCTGTCAACACTACTAGCAAAAGTTAAGTTTCGTAAACCTATCTCTGTGTGGGCAAGGCCTGTCATTCATAAGAAATGAACAAAAAACTTATGAAAGAACAAACATGAATGTGGTTTAATGATTTTAACTTCCGCCGCCGCACCACGAAGACCGCATGGTGTTTAGCGCAATGCGTGAAGTATCCACACAGTCTTGCAGGCGCTATCCTTTTCACGCTGACCGCACTGTGTTTGGCGCAATGCGTGAAGTATTCATGCATTCTTGCGGGCGCTATCCTTTTCACGCTGACCGCACTGTGTTTGATGCAATGTGTGAAGTGTTCTTGCAGTCTTGTAGGCGCTAATATGTGTTACATGCCGATTGCCGCGCCGAGGGCTTCTCCTTTTCATCTCAAGTCCTCGTCATCATTTCTCCCTAAGTAGCGCCGTTCCAGGCCAAATTGTGTGTTTGGTTTCTCTCTTAACTCGACTACTTAAAGATGCTGTCTCTTGTATCACTAAAAGACGACAAAATTAAAAATGACTATATTCTCAGGGAATGAGAGATTTTGTCGCCTTTTCTCGTTTGTACTTTTTTTTTCTAAATCCGATATTTTTTTATACCTACATTTAAAAAAATTGCAAAATTTGCCGCCCTCTAAATTTAACGGCCCATGTGGCCACCCCCTTAATCCGGCCCTGGATACTGCAAAAGTGCGTATCTCGGGAAACACGATGTCTCAGATGAACAAAAATTCTGCCCCCCTCCCTTATAATTGTCAGTAGAATAGGATTCATTCTTGAGGATTGTTAGGATAAGACGTTTTTTAAGACGTCGTCAGCATTTTGAACAATGTTTCGAACTGTCATAAAATCCGGCAGAGACACCGAAATTCGTGGTTTCAGACACAGCATCCTGGGACCCGCGATTTTAGCATAAAGATCTGATTCCCTTTTCCGCCCAATTCAATCGAATCAAGTCCGGACGAAGACTTCGAAAGTACAAAGTGCTTTCAACTCAGTGGCAGCACCTATAAGTCCCAAAAAATTGCTAATTGCGATGCTGGGCTCAAATTCTGGTGAATTGACCAAGGAGCATCCAAGGAGCTCGAAGGCGGCGGTACAGGTAACTACAGATGACTCGATATTGTGTTTAATCACTCAATGAAAACTTATTTTCTATGCAGCCAATAGAATCACACAGAGGCGGACACGAGATACGCGTTTTTGGAATTAGCCCAAAAATGCGAGGTACTTCAATCAAATCAGTGAAAATGAAAAGACCGACTCGGAAAAATGAAAATTTTCAAGAGGTACAGAACACTACAAAGTAGGTAAAGAAATAGCTCAGGAAAATCTGTTTGATGTCAAAAGAAATTACTTTGGGATACTTTAAAGGACCTAGTTGACTTAGATGCGTCATTTCAAATGGCTTTTACAAAAATTTGGCATATTCAACGAAATTGGGGCATTTCTAAGTTTTCGAATGGGTGTGTTTTCATTCTTTCATTTCACAGATTCAGTTACGTATTTACAAAAATCCTCGATTTTTAGGCCAAGGTTCCTATTCCATGGATAAGAAACGTGTTTGCTCCGTCCGCGGAATAAAAACAGATACAACCAAAGAGACAAATACATTTTAGGAGAAACTCGTTATTTTATACCTCACTATAAGGCTCATTCGTAATCTGTTAAAGTTTAGTATTACCGAGAATATGTTTTACATTACTAATTTTTTTTTTATCTCAGACCTTGAGCCTTGACCTTGAGATACATAAGACTTCACTAGGTGAAAAAAAAATTGAAATGATTAAAAAAAGGAAACGTTATAAATAGATCTGAAATTGTGTTATAGAGATTTAAATCATATATGCGGAGAAATCCAATGCGGAAAGATCGAATCTTCATATTATGCGTGATTAGAGGCACGGGAAAAAGAGGAAATACCATTTTGCACTATCATAAAAAACAAATTGTAGCACGCAAATCACTAATTTGCTCGGGTATTGACTTTTTTTCAAAATGACTGCGACAAACATCGTGCAAAGTGATCATTTTTTACGCCAGGTATTTTTGAAGCACGCAGGGCGGATCCAGCAATTTGGCAACAACGGATTCCCTCCATTTAAACCTATGTTAAATAATCGATTCTTGTAGAGGAGCCTGGTCCCTCCAAGAATCGATACATTTCCAGAGGTTTAAATGGAGAAAAACAGTGTTGCCAAATTGCTGGATCCGCTAATGTTAGGAGCTTGAGATGGAGGTTATAATACTACTGATTTTAAATTAAAAGGACTGACATCCTCCTTTTTTCGATCGATGTATCTTGCGTTTTGAAATTTTGCGTGGGAATGGTGCTGATTTGATGTTCGTTTATCGATTTTAAAAACTCCACGGGACCATATCGTCTGATCGCACAACTTCTAAAAGAAAAAAAAATTATTTGAGAACGATACTATGATTTTGAGGTCTCGAAGGCTCCTGAAAAACGGTGCATAAGCCATCTGGCGTCGTCAAATTTCCTTTGACAAATCACGGATTTCCAGGGAAATTTTTTGATATATCTCTCCAGATTTTTCAGAAGATTTCGTTCGTAATTTGATCTATAAATACCAAAAATTTTAAGGGAAAATATTCATATTTTTATTCATAACGTCCTTTAAGAGTAAATATTTTTGAGTGGAAATTCGGCAACATTCGAATGCTCATGCGACATTTTTACTTAAAACAGCATGTTATGACCCCGTTAATACCACTAGATGTTTTACTTGTGAGTCCTCGGGAACCAGAGGCGTGGCGTAAGTTGCGATATATCGATTGTAATGCCATTTAAACCTATGGTAAAGAATCGATTATTAAGGTGTTCGCTTAGAACACTCTATTTATCGATCCTTTTCCATAGGTTTAAATGGCATAAAAATCGATAAATCGCATAGCACGCCACGCCACTGTAGGGGACCCTTTCAAATTAGGGAGCCCTGCATCGTTTTTGGCATTATTAGGTTAGTTCTCCGCTCACATTGTTCCTCACTCGTTCCGATCAGTTAGCCTTCAATATCTCGTTAGGCAATGTGAGTGGCTTGGGAGCAGTAATAGTTGCTCGCCGTATTTTGGCCACGATCTCTCGGTTTATTTATAACTGTGGCGGTTTAACATATTGTTTCTCACTCGTTCCGATCTTTAGCCTTCAATATCTCGTTTGGCAATGTGAGTGGCTTAGGAGCAGTAATAGTTGCTCGCCGTATTTTGGCCACGATCACTCGGTTTATTCATAACTGTGGCGGTTTAATATATTGTTTCTCACTCGTTCCGATCAATTCGCCTTCAATATCTCGATAGGCAATGTGAGTGGCTTGGGAGCAGTAATAGTTGCTTCCGCAGCATTTCGGCCATGTTCACTCGATTTATTCGTGGCGGTTCAATACTTCACTCGTTCTGATCAATTCGCCTTCAATATTATGAAAAGCAATGTGAGCGACTTGGGAGTGGTAAAAGTTGGTTGCCGCATTAGGGCAACAGAGAAAAAAAAATGGAGGAAGTTTTCAAGAAATTTTACCTTGATTAAGTTTTTTGAAGGGAAAATGAAGGATGACAGGAAGTCTGCAGCGCCGCAAACAGAGATACTGGTTTCGCATTTTTGCTATCAATATGACCATACAATGATGGAGATGTTGCATGTGTGAGGAATTTGCGATTTGACTACTGAAGCTTATGTAAAAGTTCGCGAGAAACACGATGGTGCCACTGGTTTTCTGTGAAATTAACTCCCAAGCTCAAAAAAAGCTCTCAAGTTGAGGACAAAATGGAGGGGATATCCCACGATATCCTGAGAGTCCACCTCTACATCAAGACAAACTCTCCATGCGAAGATAGGGAGCAAATACATTGACAGGGCTGCCACTTTATTCGGGGAATCCAAAACTGAAAACACGGCAACCCTGCTAATGTACTTGCTCCCTATCTTTGCATGGAGAGTTTGTTTTGATGTGGAGGTGGACTCTCAGGATAGCGTGGGATATCCCCTCCATTTTGGCCTCAACTTGAGAGCTTTTTTTGAGCTTGGGAGTTGATTTCAGAGAAAACGGCACCATCGTGTTTCTCGCGAACTTTTACATAAGAATCAACAGTCAAATCGCAAATTCCTCACACATGCAACATCTCCATTCTCCATTTGCATGTTTTTGGCGGGAGATTTGGCAACAGTCAAAGGTTCATGTGGTTTTTTTCCTTATCACGACAGTATAGGAACGATGGGTGCTCGTTTTACAAACAGGAGCCTATATCCGAGAGGGAAAGAAAGGCTGTGACCATGGAAAAGCTCGGTAAGCGGCGTTTTTGCTCTGGTTTTCCACCAACGAGAGAGTGCTTTCCAATTTCCTCGACGAAGACGCGCGTAAATACGTTCTTGCGTGCGGAGTCGCGTCGCAGACGTCAAAGCGGTGGTGTAAAAAGGGCGCTATAAAAGCGGCGGGATGATGTGTCAATCCAGCGTTTATCGTTTTTGAATTCTGAATCCTCCGGGCTATCATGAAGTGCACCCTATCGCACCGCATTCTTACGTATCTGATCATTTTCATTCTGGTCTCGGAGCTTGTTCCAGGTAAAACTACCTTATTCTTTTGCTTTATTTTCTTCTTCTTCTTCTTCTTTATTTTCTTTTTCCTCTTTAATGTCTTCTTCTTCAATTACTTCTTCTTCTTTATTTTCATCATCTTCTTCTTCTTCTTCTTTATTTTCATCTTCTTCTTCTTCCTTATTTTCATCATCTTCTTCTTTATTTTCATCTTCTTCTTCTTCTTCTTCTTTATTTTCCTCTTCTTTATCTGCTTATTTTTCTTCTCCCTCAGCCTCTTATAATTCTTCGTTTTTTCTTTTCCTTCTCCTTCATTTGAATACCCAATAGGGTGTCCCACTTTGAGGGTCACCTCCGAATTTTGATGATGGTACCCTCTAAATCGTTGACCCCACTTATAAAAATAAGATTGCACTAAAGAAAAAAATTCTAAAAAATTTTTTAAGGGTTGCGCACGGCCAAAAACTACCCCCCGGAATAGGGCAAAATGCAGAATTTTGTCCATTTTGACGATTTTTTTTAACAACATTGTAATTGAGCTAGGGCTCTGAAAATTTCACAGTAAGAGCATATGTTAGGGCTTTTTCAAGAAAAATTTTTGTTCATTTCATCATGCGTTTCCATTTTTTGCTAAAAATCCTCAAAATCGGCTAAAAACCCGAGAATTTCAAGATTTTGTATTCTTGTCTTACGACGATTTTTTCATCTTACAAAGTTAAATTAAACATGTAAAGTATCATTACTTGCATCTTGATACTCATTTTGACCGAAATTCACACTTCACTTTAATAACCCCTCCCCCCTCCCCCGTATTTTTAACCGTAAATTCAGCGTTACCTAAGTCGCGATAGGTGCATGGGTTTTTTTTCCTTTTCCATTAAAGATTATATTTGTATTCATATTCCTGCATTTTAAATGTCGACGTAATGTTTCATTAAAGTGGTACTTACCTATGAAAAATGGGAGAGCATGATGTGAACTTTCTTTTTTTTTAAAAAAAAATGGATTGTATTTTTGAAAAAAAAAAAATAATTTTACTAAAATAATTGGGAATGGAGCCAAGCGCCAAACAATTAGAAACAACATCATTCCTTTCTTCTAAAATACTTTAACAGAAGCTCCGGAGGAAAAGAAGAAAAACTGAACTGAGTATATCTCAGAAAAAGGAGGTGAGTCTTCCAAAAAAAAGTGGCAAGGTGCCTAAACAGTAGAGGAAATGCATGATTACTTCCTCTTTGAATACTTAACAACTGACGCTTCAGCGATAACAACATGACAGTTCATCCCTCTGTTTTCGAAACTGTGGCTATATTTCGGCATGAATTTGATCCAACAGAAAGTGATTTAAAAGGTCTTCAAAAAGTTTGCTTATTCAATTTAAGATGTTTAATCTTTGCTGGTACAAATCTCAGCGTCCAATAATTGCCCTTCAAGATGATTTGTAATTTACAAAAAAGTTAGGTTACTTCGTATACTTCAGAACTTCAGAACTTCAGAACTACTACTACCTAGTGTACTTCAGAAAAACGAGTTTAGTCTTCCAAAAATAACTGGCAAGGTTATAGTGCGAGGCAAAAGGTGGCAAAAAACAGTTGAGGAAATGCATTATTCCTTTCTTTTTATGTACCTGGTAATGTTAGGTGGAAGTTTCATCAAAGAAGATCCTATAATTATTCATGTGATGCAATTTCTTCATTTTTTTGTTGTTTTGAAATCAACCATATGATAGGATGAAAATGTGTGTAATTCAGTGTCATTTTTCACTTGTTTATTGAGATAATAATCAATGCTCTCTTTAGTTACTAAAGCTTTAACTATTTTTCTTTTCATGCTATTAGAAATGAATTAATCAAAAACAGACAGAGGCTCCAACCTATCACTAAGATATCTGTATTGTCTTGAAAAAGTGGCCAATGTAGCCTCTGATACTCTCTTATCAATACTATTGTACTGAAGCAACTTTTTTGTAAATTGCAAATCATCTTGAAGGGCAATTATTGGACGCTGAGATTTGTACCAGCAAAGATTAAACATCTTAAATTGAATAAGCAAACTTTTTGAAGACCTTTTAAATCACTTTCTGTTGGATCAAATTCATGCCGAAATATAGCCACAGTTTCGAAAACAGAGGGATGAACTGTCATGTTGTTATCGCTGAAGCGTCAGTTGTTAAGTATTCAAAGAGGAAGTAATCATGCATTTCCTCTACTGTTTAGGCACCTTGCCACTTTTTTTTGGAAGACTCACCTCCTTTTTCTGAGATATACTCAGTTCAGTTTTTCTTCTTTTCCTCCGGAGCTTCTGTTAAAGTATTTTAGAAGAAAGGAATGATGTTGTTTCTAATTGTTTGGCGCTTGGCTCCATTCCCAATTATTTTAGTAAAATTATTTTTTTTTTTTCAAAAATACAATCTATTTTTTTTTAAAAAAAAAGAAAGTCCACATCATGCTCTCCCATTTTTCATAGGTAAGTACCACTTTAATGAAACATTACGTCGACATTTAAAATGCAGGAATATGAATACAAATATAATCTTTAATGGAAAAGGAAAAAAAACCCATGCACCTATCGCGACTTAGGTAACGCTGAATTTACGGTTAAAAATACGGGGGAGGGGGGAGGGGTTATTAAAGTGAAGTGTGAATTTCGGTCAAAATGAGTATCAAGATGCAAGTAATGATACTTTACATGTTTAATTTAACTTTGTAAGATGAAAAAATCGTCGTAAGACAAGAATACAAAATCTTGAAATTCTCGGGTTTTTAGCCGATTTTGAGGATTTTTAGCAAAAAATGGAAACGCATGATGAAATGAACAAAAATTTTTCTTGAAAGTGCCCTAACATATGCTCTTACTGTGAAATTTTCAGAGCCCTAGCTCAATTACAATGTTGTTAAAAAAAATCGTCAAAATGGACAAAATTCTGCATTTTGCCCTATTCCGGGGGGTAGTTTTTGGCCGTGCGCAACCCTTAAAAAATTTTTTAGAATTTTTTTCTTTAGTGCAATCTTATTTTTATAAGTGGGGTCAACGATTTAGAGGGTACCATCATCAAAATTCGGAGGTGACCCTCAAAGTGGGACACCCTAATACCCATGTAGTAGCATTTCAAAATTGGTACTGATAAGTAAGCTATTTTCAGTCACTTTATTGTCTATTCATAGCTATGAGACTTCTACTAAATAGCAATTTCAATCTATATGTGAAATACGAACTTGCTGTAAATATTCTTCCTCTTCTTCATCATATCCTTCTTTATCTTCTTCTTTTTCTTCGTCTCCTCCTTCCTCTCTTTCTTCTCCTTTTTCTTCTTCTTCATTTGACTACCCATGTAGTAGCATTTCAAGATTGATAAATATAAATAAGCTATTTACAGTCAATTGATTGTTTATTTATAGCTATGAAACTTCTACTAAATAGTTATTTTAATCTATATGTGAAATACGAACTTACTGTAAATAGTCATGTTTCGACTTTTGAATACGAAGTAGCTGTGAGATCGCAACTAATAGCTATGAGATCGCAACTGTTTCTGACTATTTCCAGGGCTGGATTTTCCTACTTGCCGCCCATGGGCCGCCTGTATTTTGCCGCCCCCTTCTCATTCGTTTTGAAACATCAATAAAAACCATCAAGTGAACGTGCCAGCGGGGGAGGGTGCATAAGACGCGTTTACTCGTGTTGATCACATTTTTTGGGAAAGCCCTGTCAACACTACTAGCAAAAGGTCACGGAACTTTGCGGGAAAATCAAGTTTCGTAAACCTATCTCTAACGGAAAAGGCCTTCCATTCATGAGAAATGAACGAAAAAATTATGAAAGAACAAACACAAAATTTGATTTAATGATTTTAACTTCCGCCGCCGCCGCCGCGCCGCGCCGACCGCACCGTGTTTGGCGCAATGCGTGAAGTATATTCACGCAGTCTTGTAGGCGCTATGCGTTTCACGCTGACCTCACTGTGTTTGGCGCAATGCGTGAAGTATTCATGCATTCTTGTAGGCGCTATCCGTTTCACACTGACCACAATAACCGCACTTCTGTGTTTGATGCAATGCGTGAAGTATTCGTGCAGTCTTGTAGGCGCTAATATGTGTTACATGCTGATTGCCGCGCCGAGGGCTTCTCCTTTTCATCTCAAGTCCTCGTCATCATTTCTCCCCAAGTAGCGCCGTTCCAGGCCAAATTGTGTGTTTGGTTTCTCTCTTAACTCGACTAATTGAAGGTGCTGTCTCTTGTATCACTAAAAGACGACAAAATTAAAAATGACTATATTCTCAGGGAATGAGAGATTTTGTCGCCTTTTCTCGTTTGTACTTTTTTTTCTAAATCCGATATTTTTTTATACCTACATTTAAAAAAATTGCAAAATTTGCCGCCTCTATGATTTGCCGCCATGGGCCGCGGCCCATGTGGCCACCCCCTTAATCCGGCCCTGACTATTTCCATCACCCAATTTTTGAATTTTTGACAGCTAAAAAAAAAAAAAATGTGATAAATTGACATTTATCACTACCAAATTCCCATTTTTGAAAATTCTGCTACATGGGATGGGCAAGCCCCGTTTGTCCAGCCATGGTCGTGCCATAGACGTGCATGAGATGTCGAATTGAAAAAAAATGTATGAAATTTATACAAACTGAGAAAGTTGATGAAAATGATCCAGCTTATCAATTTTTATTATTTTGATGAAATAAATTATTAAAAGTTAGCGTTTATTTTAACGAAGATCCGTAAAAATTAAAAACATCAAACACATTCATTAATGTTTTGTGGATGTGAGAATGTATACGTATTAAATAGATACGAGAATATTTCCCTTCCGTAAATTCGGTTGCGATCTTGAAAGAAAACAAACAAGATATGATCTGGTTTTTAACGTTTTCTGATTCAAATTCATCATTTCTTGAAGCAAATGTTGTTCATAATTCTTTCGCTTCTTTTAAATATATACCTATATAATGATTAATTCACTGATGACTACGTTAAAGCTGATTGGGCGTCCTTTTAAAGACTTGAACTGAATTTCAGGTGTCCAAGGAGGCAAAAATGGGAGTGATGGTGAAGGAAAGAAGAAAAAGCACTGGTGGTCTGGTATATTCAAACGTAAGAAAGACCCGACTGATACTAGAGAAAAGGTAATCGGTCCGGGTGGAAGCCTGAAGATCCGTTCTGGTGATACCGTGATCACTTCACTCTTACCCAATAGATTTGCTCTCAAACCACCGTACCGATGGTTTTACGCCCTTAACAACGAAGGCACGGTCATACACTTTTTGCCACCGTAAGTTGCTCCTTTTTCTGTACGAGAAAACACTCATCGTTTAGTATTCTATTAACATCTGACTTTTTCAAGAAGAACCTATATCTACTTTAAGGATGGATTTCATATAAATCTCGTCGTTTAAGGCCTGATGGCAAAATAAACTATGATATGTCTGTCACAGGCTTTTGCTGGCTTTGAGAAAAAACTCGCCTTTTATGAAAAGTGGTTCAAAAATCGCGAATGAGCACATAAACAGTCGAATTAGGTACCTGAATGGTTGTCGAACCATCGCAACATAATTGAGGGGCTTTGAGGACAAGGCGCATAAGTGCAGTTTTTGAAATAATTCGGATTTAAATGATTTCAAGTAAAACTAATGTTGATGCCTATTCTGCGAAAAATTCGCTCCCAAATTCCAGTTTTTAAGCATCCATAAGTCAGTTTGAGCTTTCTCTCCGTCGTAAGGATCAATGTAATTTTGAAACTTCAAACACGTATTTCTCGAAATGGCAAAAACTGCACTTATGCGCCTTGTCCTCCAAGCCCCTCAATTGATCATCAGTTAAACCTTTGAACAATTTCTATTTTTAGGATACACAAAGGGTGCCATACATGCATGGTTCAATAATGGTCTACAGTTGTGCTGCCGTGCTAAGGAAGAACGCCGTATGGACATTCGAGAGTTGCCAAATTTCTTTTAATGGAACGTTTATTTTTGAGGAAAATTATGAATATTTCTCCTTGAAATTTTCAGACTTTTAGATCCAATTACGAATGGAACCCTCTGTAAAATTGGAAGAAGAGAGAGAATTGTAAGAGAATCAATCAGGGGCGGACTGGTAGTCGAAAAGTTAGGAGGCGACCTAAATGTGGGGGCCCCTCCTGTCGTTCGGGGGGCCCTCCCCCCGGAAAATTTTGAAAATTTCACACTTTTTAAACGCAATTTTAAGCATTATTGAAGTTAAATTCTACAGTTCTTGAACTTCAAAATAACCCATTCTCAGGATTCTTCGGGGAACCCTTCATCACATAGCTCTAGGCGACCTTTCATGTCTCTCAGAGACAAATTTTCAAGGATTTTGGGGCCTTTTAGTGACTGAAAAGGATAGGAAAATTACAACATTACGGGGAAAAAAACGATGACTCAAAAAAAATTCGCCGCGGGGGCCCCCTCGAGACCTCCGCGGCAAATTTTTAGGAGGCGATCGCCTCCCCGCCTTTATTGCCAGTCCGCCCTTGGAATCAATCACAGATTTTCCTATAAATTCGTGACTTGTCGGGGGAAATTTGGCAGCGCCCGATGGCTCATACTGCGTTTCTCCTTAGCCTGGCAGCATGGCTCCATGGTGCAACATAATTGATCAGTGGGACCTTTGATGTATCTCTATTTCTAGGCTGCACAAATGGTTCCATAACGTGAGGCCAGTTCTGATCGACGTGCGAAAAAAGTACAAGAGAGCGAAATTGATGAACCGGGGGCAGAAACATGGCCACGTCGGTAAAGTGGGAGCCCTTGTGGCGGCGCTAATGTTCGAGTCCTCGAAGAAAGAGAATCAGAAACAGAAATTCCATTTCAACCTCTTCTGGTGCAACTGCAAACACTACGTGGAATACCTGTCTCTGGGTAGGGTCGAAGGCAGTTACAAGCACGTCCTGTTTCAGCCAATGGACAAGAAATGCCCCCTGTACGCCCCTCTTACTAGCGACATGTACACTACAATTTTCGAAAACAAAGAGTTCGAACTACATGACAACCAAGAGCGCACTAAACAAGTCAGAATTAAATTAAAAATTCATGGTCATTGGCCAGCCTATGTTTGGGACAGTAAAGCAGGCAAATAATGAAGGGCTACATAACAGACGAACACATTTACCTAAATGACGTACAGGCCGGAGTGTCATGGGCGAGTGACACACTTTTGCGGTGGGTCAGTTTCGCTAGTCACAGAATGGGCCTGTTGCATGCAAGAGATACAGCCGTGCAAATAGACTTTTTAGAGGTTAAATGACACGAAAATTACGATGGTCACATTAAAAAAGTCTGAAATACACTCCTTACTGCGCAATTTACGTTGTTAGGAACGCGCTTTTTCAAATTTCCCGCGTCTGGGGGCAGTTTTCTAACGGCAACTCGCGGCTATTTCCGGCCAACTAAAACTGACAACATAACCTAAAAATCGGAGCTCGTGATATCGTGAAATGAAATGTAGAAGGAGTGAACAGATTGGCCCAGATATTCCGGACCACATTTCACCAAAAACTGCTGTTTGTCAAACCGCCGTCAACACCTACCAAGCGGCGAGTAGGCCTTCGGCCGTGCTCGGCAATCTTCGTAGCCAATGAGGTTGCCGCTCGCCGCCCGTGATCTCGAAGATGGTTCGGCTCCTACACCACCCCCAGCCCACCTTGCCAGCCCCAGCCCCACTTGCCACTTACACTTTTCAAATGGCATTCGGCCTGATTCTCTTCTTCTCTTTTCCGTAATTAACCTTGGTAATTAATAACAATAAAAAATTCATTTAGTCATTTCTTAGCGGCACCTTGTCCAATTTGTGCCTAGAGCCTCTACAACTTTGCAAGTTTGGACGTTACCTTTTGAACATTTCATCCCTTCCCTTTGAATACACTTCACACATCACACGGGACTTTTATCTGCATATTTACTTGGCTTTATTCACAGAGGATCTTTTAAGAAGTAAATTCTTTCGATAACTTATTGGGGATGGTCAAGTTACCAATTAGAGCCCACCATTCCATGCCATTATTATTACAGGACAAGGTTTCTTACCTATAATTTGATGGGCACCGTGAGAATAATAGATAACCACAGTATTTGATCCGTGCCTTAAAAAATGAGCTGCTGGTGGCAGAACCATCTTGGTGATGTTCATTAGGAATTTTAGACCTTATTCTATTTTTTTAGCAGATGAACCTCACATGGTTATATGTAAAGTCTTGCTTCATTTTCCTTGAGTTCTACTTAGTTTAATGCCAAACAACAAGAAAATTCATGGAGAAACATGCCTTAAAGGTGATAGTTCCCCCTCATACTTACTGTCAGAGTTCCGATGGAAAAAATTTTGTTGTAATAGTTAAATACGGTTTCCATAGCTTCTTCAGCTGCTAATAGACAACTATGCGGGTTTGCTGGAGAATTTGGTGACTGCTAGGATTGTTAATTGGTATCTCCGAAGTCTGGTTGTTATAGCTACACTTGAAGCATTGGCTTCAACGCAGCGCAAAACCAGAACCTTGGAGAGACCAGAGAACATATCCATAAGAAAGTAAGTGAGGAGCAAGGTACCTATCATTGTACATCCATCTGGTTTTCACAACTACCGTTACTAGAGATTTAGGATTCAGATTTGCACATCAACCAATAAGTTTTTCGCCCCATCATCTTAAGATAGAGGCTACCATGCAAGGCGCAGCCAGGTAGTGGTAGTCCAATGCTCATGGCAAGGCGCAGCCAGGTGCCAGGTAGTCCAATGCTCATGCCACTCAATCAACACAAATATTATCCTAACTTACTACAAAATGACTTGTTTCTTCTCTAACAATGGAATCGGAAAATGTTGCTTTAGACGCGCAGGAAACTTCTTTGGTCGAGATGAAGAAAAGAAACGTAAATGAAGAAATGAGTCCGGAACATCTCGACCAGGTGCAGGCCGCTTTGTTTACGTTAGGAGTCTGGAGTATCTCACTGCAATTTCACTTGAAACCACAATGAACAGATCAACGCGGTAATTGATATCTGATTTAACGAAATGGATAGATGGATGTGGACGAAAGTTCTTTTGTCGAGGTGAAGAAACGATAACGCTGAGAAAATTAGTGTGGAACATCTCGACGAGATCCGCTTTGTTTATGTCCGGACTATGTCGCCGTTTGTTTGTTTACATTAGGAGCGAGTTTGACACCGATGACAGATTTTGATCTTTGATGAGAATTTGGTCTGGAATATCTGGGCCAAACGCAAAAACCATGTAGAAGGATTGCGTTGGATATTTAAAAGTTGATCGATTTCGTTACCACATAAAGCGTACATGGACCACTATAAGAGATCACGTTGGGTTTGTAAACAAACTGAAGGAAAAAATAACAACAACAACAACGACTCGGCATCTTCCGGAAATCACCGAGCCCGCCGTTTGCTCGTTTCCGGTGATTAGAAAACTGCCCCCAGACGCGGGAAATTTGAAAAAGCGCGTTCCTAACAACGCAAATTGCGCAGTAAGGAGTGTATTTCAGACTTTTTTAATGAGACCATCTTAATTTTCGTGTCATTTAACCCCTAAAAAGTCTATTCGCGCGGCTGTATCTCTTGCATGCAACAGGCCCATTGTGTTTTGATGATTCATTCTTTTAAATTAATTAAAAATAATAAGACCTGTCCAAACAGCAACTTTCCACGTTCAATATTAACCGAGGCACCGCCCTTTGAAAAGTAGGGTTTTTGACGTCATCCACCGCGATAGTAACATCCTTGGTTTCTTCTACCTTGCTTTCATCGAAGTCCCAGGTTTAGTCTCGATTTATATTGAGCGTAGAAAGTTGCTGTTTGGACAGATCTAATTATTTTTAGCTAATCTACAAGATTAATGCACCAAATCACGATTCCGTCACCAGCGCAACTGACCCATTAAGCATTACGACGGGGAACACGTAGTTGTTTTAACCCTTTCCTGAATTTTGTGCAGTCTAGTACTTCAAGAAATATTAGTACTGACATAATCGTATATGACTGTTTCATAGCCTTCATATTAACTTTCGCTATATATGTTTGTATAAATCTGCTTCTGGGTGGTAGTAGAGTACCTGTATAGGGAGAGTAGCGACAGATTTGAAACTCCGAAAGTCCATCAGGCCTTCACCGATGCCTCCGCGAATAAAGTTAGGGCCCAAAAGGGCAGCCAACCTATGAATTTCGAATGTCCAGAGCGATTTACAAATACAATTGTTACGAACCGTCGTTTAGAAAGCATGTATTTGGTTTATTTTTTGCATAAATTTACTTATTTTTGCGAAAGAACGCTCATTTATGTACATTCTTAGCCATCTTGGTTAGAATTGAAATCTGTAGGCTGGCAGTGAAATTTTGTGTGTTAGAAGTTGCTCAGAAGGGTGGCTGCACTTTTGGGCCCTAAGCCCTCCATGAACCGATCTGTCGCTTTTCTCCCTATACAGGTACTCTAGGTGGTAGTGCCTAGTAGACGAATCGCCATCGTTTTCCTTCAAAATTCTATGCAATTTATCAGGTTTGTTTCTTGAAAATGTAGCAATTAAACGTCAAAAGTATTTTTCTAAAGGGGAAAAAATAAAAACAAATTGAAGCAAGGGACGACTCGTTAAATTAGGCGAAAGGAAGCTTCATAAATCATGCTCAGGTATTTAAATTTGATTGCGTGTCCGAGGATCGGTAACGTTCTGATAGATTTAAACAATCAAGGCATTTTTCGAAAAATTGATAATGTCGCGAAAATAATTTGCAAACGTTTACTCCATCGGCACAACAGGCAACGCTGGAATTAAGTTTAGAAGCAAGAGAAACAAGCGAGACGCCTTCAGTTAGTGTCGCATGGAATGAACGATAAATGAATTTCCTTATAACGCCTGGATGCAACTATTCGAACTTCATGGATGCCCGTGTTGCATACGCACGAGAGTGAAGGCGTTTTTAATGTCAAGCCTCGCGCCGCACGGTGGATCGAGTCAATTAGAGAGGTCGGACATGACATTTTTGACAATAACTGCAAATTTTGATGTTTATTTCGTCACATTTAAAGTTCGAGGGGTGCCCCTAGAGGAAAATTTCACGACGAAACCAAGGGAGCTACTCTTAGAACTTCAAAGTTGTGTACAAACGGAGTTATAAGAGTTTAAACTTTCCAAATTTTGTCTCTACACATCGCAATATCAAAACTGCAGCACAAAAAATACCTTACGCCCGACTCTAACTGTGGGCGATGTGCTTGTTTTTATTCTTTTACCGTTGTTATCCAGCGTTGCCTTAATCGATGGAGAGATCCATTACTGATTTTATTGCGACACAGTCAATTTCCCGAAAAATTCTTTGATTCTTTAAATGTATAACAGTGTTGTCTTCCTGAAACGAAGGTATACCAATGAGTAGTGCGCCCAAATTTTGGTTGCGGCGAATGGATGATCAAAAGTCTGACGTAATCTTGTCATGAGAGCTCTATTCTTGTGGGCGCTAAGAAGTTAAATAACGTAAATAAACCGGTGGATTTTTAGTAGAAATATGTACGAGGTCATTAAAGATTTTGAGGTACATAAAACCGGCCGAGAACACTCTTAATTTCGACAAAAATTCGACTTTTTTTTACTGATGATTCTTTGATAACGTTTGATTTTCGGTCATATTATTAAGAGCTAGCGGTGCGAACCATTATTTAAAAACAGTTAGTTATCCGTGCTGAAATTAGAGTACTTTGGTTTGTAATCACTTGTCAAGCTTATACAGACTATAATGTCACTCTTCACTTTTATGTAACAAAAACAAACGTTCATGATTCGTTAAATTTCGTCGCGAGTATCAGATCATGCCATTTTCTGAGTATGGCCCTTGACGTCTTGATCACAGTGTAAATACATAGTTTTTGTTTATTGTAACATCCATACGTGTGCTGTGTTCTTCACAAGTATTTCAAGTCATGACTTATAATTTAAACTAGAAGTTACTGTCAAACATAATGTTTTCGTGCTTTTTTATCATGCATCATTCACTTGTAAATAATACTCCTCATGTACTATTCAAAATTTTGTAAAACTTAAAAATTGGTGCTGTCATATGTATTGTATGAATGTATATATTATTTTTCGCCATCTTGGAATTTTCCGAATTTTTAATAAAATTTTATTTCACTTTTATTTGTACCTGTTTTAAATCGTGTTGGTTAAATATGTTGTTAAAAACCGAGAGTTGACCTCGTATAGAAGTCGTCAGGCCCGCCACAAGGGGGGGGGGGTACTGGGTCCCTGGTACCGGGGCCCGTGTTACCCGTGAAAAACCACTACGAATTCA